GCGCTCAGTGGGCCAGAAGACGTGGTCATCGAGCAGGACGGTGATCTTGGTCTTCACGTATCGAATGCCGTGCGCGACCTGTCGGCGCTTGTTCGCTTCGTCGGCGATTCTGACGGAGATTTCGGTATTCGGGAATCTCCGCTTGTAGGGGGCGATGATGTCTTTGGTCAGTTTCGTCAGTTGGTCTCCAACAGTAACAATGATGATGGCACCTGGTTTGTTCCGAAGGCATGAGGTGATACACTCTTCAAAGTCTCTGTTCTCGGGATCAACGGTGGGGAGGATGATTGTGCAGTCAGATGGAAAAAGGGTAGGGTTGCTGGGCACAGGGGTGGGGCGGTAGAAGAGCCAGAAGGAGATGAGATGGATGATGAGACGGAAATACCGGAAGACGAACAGATGATAAAAGATGATTGTCATTCGGTCGTAGAAAACCTCCTCTCTTCGAAGGTATTCGGGTAGAATGCCAGCTACCCATGTGGTTAGTGCCGTGTGTATGTCGTGAAGGGACCGGCCGGTCGAGTGCATGAAGTACGCAGCGGCTGCTGCTGCTACCATGAACATCCGAGGGTGAGCAATTACCCAAGGTAGTGTGATAAAGGCAAGAAGTCCGTACATTGTTGAAGCGTTGATTGGAACGCTGTCTGAGGAGTGAGATACGTTGCTTCAACTTGGAGTAGTAGTCGACGGTGTTGATGAACCTGTAGTCTCCGGGAATTTTCGCGATATTTGAATCCAGCAGAGGAACAAAGAGGCCTCAGATGAACCAGACAAGAGAGACAATATTCACTATTGTCAAAGCCATTGTGAAAGACAGTCTCTGATGGACCCATGGTGAAGTGAGATGTTTCTCTGCAGAACAAAGGCCTAGAGACAAGGGACATAGAGTTTTTTACAAGACATTTGCAAGCCCATCATAACGGCTAACAGATACCAGAGACAGATGGTTGAGAATGAAACAGTTTAGACAATGCATTATATGCTTTGTTCAGCTAGGAAAGAGGGAAAGACAACTAAGGAAGATATGCCTTTCAAAAACCTCAAATGCCGAAAGGAAGAAGTCTGGGGGCCTTTGTCAAAGCAATACATCATTCGGGCTACCCATGGTAGTAATTAGCTAGAATCATTCCTTTTCCCAAGAGGAGCATCCTGATACTGTTCCAGTCAAAGAACTGTGATATCGAGCATAAACTCAAATTAGGATATGAGCCAACAGTCGATCAATACATTTTTGTATGGACACTGTCGCATCATATCCACGATCTGAACTTCAAAGCTCGATTGCATCAGAAGGAAATCCAGGAATAGTTATTGTAAGAGGGTTCAGGCATGCCAACATGCCATGCGGTTGAATCATCTGCAAATAACTTCGATGGCTCAAGGTTCAGATTATTGATAAAATAAACTGGAAAAGGACCGTGAAGCTCCATCTCTAGAGCTGGCGTTTTGACGGTAGTAATCACGCCCTCCAAGCTATGCGCCTACAGATTTGCTCGGCAGAAATTCGATCGCCAGTCGACATACGATTATTAGTAATGCCGGTGTGGGCAATTGTGAGAACGCAGCCACTGTGCCGATTGGTACTCAGCCGAAGAGATGAGATGACGGACGGTGGACATCATCAACCCCATCAGTTTTCTAGCTGGGTCTCAGTGAGCAAGGCAGACTACATAGGGAAAGCCAATATCGTACATGATTAGGGAGAAGCAGAGATACTCATCTCCGGCTTGGGCTATATAGAGCACGGATACTAAATCCTCCTAATAGCTAGCGATATAGCATTGGGACAGCGAGCAGAGGTGTGGATATTGTGATACGGATTGTGAAGATTCAAGATAGGTGCATACGGGAGCAACGAAGTTCAGCCCCACTGGGGACCTACTGTGCAGTGGCTCAATCTAAATGACATTTGGGACATTGTATATGCCAGCACCACTCGCGTCTTCATTTATGATGGAGTGGCTAGGGTCCCTCCAAACATGCAAACGCTGGTAACTAAATGAGCCCTCAGGGCGTAAAAGGAGTTTCGGCAGAATTGTGATGGGTAGGCACCTCTTGTTCCATGCTAAGATGATGGATTTGGACGCAGGCGTATGCAAGACGATGCCTCACGATATTGGCGCCTCTTGAAGAGGAGCTTTGCAAGGCCCCACGCCTCATATGCAAGAAGCTATAGAAAATTCTTTCCGGAGATTGGAGTAGCCCAAGGGGCGCACGCCACTCCAGACTGCAGCGGAAGTGGCAAACATACTCCTGGCAGCCTGTTCCGATGTTCAATGCGCCGGCTTCGCTATTCTATGGAAGAAAAGCACTTCAGACAACAGCATCCAATTGCGGACATAAACCTTAACCCGTTACGACTTCTCCTAGATGCGGGAGCAATATAAATGTCCCCACATGTTTGAAAAGATGCGTAACCGCATTGAAGGAAGTGCACGCTCCCGCGTCGCCTATTGAAGGCCGGATGACTACCAAGGGGCCGCTCAGAACCGCCGTTTAGACACGGTGCTCATTCAGCTGAATAAGAGGACCGTAAGTCCCGGTCAGACACAAATCGAGTTCAACAAGCCATTCCTTTGTTTAGAAAAAATCAGCCATGCTGTCGGGGTAGGCTACATGAGTAAGAGACCACAGCACCAGTAACTGTGGCGTTAAGTCCCAACTCTCATGAAACGAGTGTTTACGCTCTAGTCTGTTATAGAGAAAGAAAAAGGCATTTTAGGGGTTGGGACATTCTGCTGATATTCATTCAGTCACCCACCGATATTGGGTGGTATGTATTTCATCAAGGTCCTGAGGGTATTCTAGGACCTCCTCAGTCTTTGTCAAACTTTTCTAAAACCTCGTTGAACTTAAACTCAGTTATTAAGTAATAGGATAAAGAAAGGTTATATCTTCTGTCCGTCTCATCGAGTGGCGGCTCGCTCTCGAGGAGCTCGCATGATCTGAAGACAAAGAACGATGCAGCCCAACAACACGCTCTCTTCGAGGTTTGATCCTCCTTTTTTTTTTTTTTTTTTCTTCGGCTGGATCCCTTACAAAGCGCGGAGAGTTCTCGAAACTTCATCAAAGTAGGTGGTTTTCTCAGCCGCGGCGTTTCTTTGTTGATACGTCTGGGCGATGCTTTGTTATCGAGTATACACAGGTAAGACTCGACGGTTGAGGATCTCCTATTCCAGACGGGCTTGTCTTGTATCATGGTTTCGAGATACCGGTTTCAAAGAAATCGCCTTGAGGGTTGATTGAAGGAACAGGTCCTTTACTCCAACTTGAAACAGACATTTCCTTGCTTCTTGCCGGAAGATCATTGTGCATCAACTGTCAATACACAAGACTAAGGTTCAAGTCTTCAGATATATAAGAACATGTTTCGGCCAGGACATGTTGGTCTCAAAACCATGAACAACTGGTTCATACGCTCAAGATGGCTGACCTCCGGTACCGCAAAGAGGACCGCGTCGACATGATACACCGGACCTACTCATGCAGGATCTCTCGCTTTCTGGATGCTCATGGGATTCCTAATGTGCTCTGGGGAGAGCATGTGATGAATATGTTTCTTATTCCCGTCGTGACAGATGTAAGTTCCCCTGTTTTCCTGAGGCACCACAAACTACAGGCGGATGAGCTAACCACCAGACAACAACTACAACAGGGCATCTACTTCATCATCCCCGACGAACATATCGACAAAGCACGGGATCTCCTGGTGGAAGCCGATTTTCCTCCCTGCCAGTTGGGGAAGTATTGCGGCTTTGACTGGCCCAAGTCCTGCCATGGGATCCCCTACGCGCACTTCAATATCGTGGACCGCGGTCCCATGAACTACTACAAACCTGAGTTATACGGCCCAAATCCCCGCGAATGGTACACACTGGAACTTTACAAGAAGTCTGAGATGCTGTGGGGAGCGCCTGAGATCCCACTCGGCCCACCTGCCCAGAATGACCCAGACTACTGGACAATTAATGATGAGCGTCTTCCAGAAGTACACAGAGGATTCTGTCTAGGCCGCGTGGTTGAGGCGGATTATCCAGTCAAGATCCCCTCACCAGCGCGCTATACTGAGTCGCTAACCCTCCTGTACTTCCGGGATAATTATCCAGAAGACACTTTCAGAGGGAGCTACTGGGATTATTTGCTACTGGACATGCATGAAGTGCTGCAGAAGCACCGCCTCTTTACACTGAGGGACCTTCCGCCTCGTACTCGCAGCTGGTTCAAGATTTTGACCGAAAACATACATGAAAGAACGCATGGGGATGCCGAGGAAAGGTTTGGCGAGGAGATGAAGAAGTCAGGCGAGGTGCCCGAAAAAAGTCCCTGGCCGTCAGAACATAGAATGCCCCCTGGATGGCGTGAAGACCTAAAACGGTTGGACGAGGAGGAAGAGGAGAGGAGAAAGAAGAAGGAGGAGGAGGAAGAGCAGACGAGGAAGAACGAAGAAGAGGTGAAAGAGGAGCAGAATGCGTGATTGAACGATGGATGAGCTTTGCAGCTGTTTTGTGTCTGTCCTTCACTTGTTTTCTTATCATTGCTGATTTCCATATTCTGAGCATATGTATGTTTAACTCGCTTATTCATTACGTCAATCAATGGCGTTGTTTACCTTGTTCTGTGACGTTAGGAGAAGTTTCGCCTGAGACGAATTTAAGTGATTGTGGCATAATGAATGCTTCCAAGTTGTCTTGTATCAGGATGGTTCACAACACCTCCCCATGTCCACCATAACTGAGACAAACTGTATGCTCTGGATAATGTGAATAAAGGACTAAAAAGGAGAAGATCTTTATACATCCGCTATGCCTCTGTGTGTATTCTTAACCATGTTTCAAAATGAACATCCATCGCAAGATGTAGTGGTTCTTGAACTAGACAGATGACCATTAATAACAGTATCAATTTTCCCTCTTCACAGGCTCAGTCAGTATCAACTTCATTTCATCCTGTCTCCGAGTCTTGCGTTACAAGCAGTATCCCGGAGACAAACAACTCTTAAGATGAACACGAGTTACTTGCCTGACGATATCCTTGACGCCGCACTCAAAAGTGCAGCAGAGACGCTCATTCAGTGCCTCCAGACAATGCCAGAACTAGAGGGAGCTAAGGTTGCAATTATTGGTGGGATGGCAGTCCGACACTATTTGACAAGCTACCGGGGAACCTTCGTGAGTGGACTGAAGAACCGGGTCTACCAAGTCGTGCTGACGAGGGCATGCAGGATGTGGATGTTCTACTTTTCAGGCCTGACCGTCCCATTGACTACAAACTGATGCGCAAGGAGCTGGTCTCCCGGTTTTCAGGTTTGTTCAAGGAGCGTGCAGAGCCTCTGCTCTTCAAATACAAACCTATGGACGAGCTTAAGAACAGACGTAAGGCCAAACGTTCGTACTTAGTGCAGGTGGACATTATTCCAGACTATTTGGTACGTTTGCATGCCCTGTCAGATGGATGGAGTCAAACTAACGCAATCGACGACAGCCTACCTACCTGCCTACGCAGGCAATAGCGCTGGAACAAGTGGACAGAGGCCATCTGCTTTTGTCAACCCGGCGGACCTTCTTGCCTACAAGGTCCATTGCTCCAGTATGCGTTCCAGTCTCAAGAAACAGAAACAGGACGCCGAGGACGCGGTGAGGCTCTGGCAAACTTATTACGGGCGTCTGCTCCTGAATCAATAGCAAATGAAGGACTCTATGCTTCCCAAGTCACGCTGCGCTTTCCATCAGGACTGCAGAGACAGCAGCAAACAGGTAATATCCAGAATATAGTGATTCAATACCCTAATATATGATTCTTCGATGTGTTCCTTTTGTATTGCTTTCAGGGACGGCTCTTTTTAGTAGGCTTGATTTGGTTTCAGAGGCCAGGATTTTTGGTTGTCTGTTTGATACATATGTTTTGTAGGTGTACTTCCAAGGATGTAATTATTATACTCGTCAAAGGAAATCTATATCTATGCAAAATTATGGTACACATCTATAACATCCTGTCCTAAGGACATAAATTCAACGCTCGGTGTATCTCGACCGTTGATCGCAGTCTATGCAAACGCAGGGAGTTTCATCTTCTCCATGTAATCATACAACAGCTTCTCCTCCTGGTCGACGAATGGTTGGACCATTTCCTTGCCTTTGCGAATCTCCTTGTGCAATTGCTCCCACTCACTGTTGTCATCCCAAGTACGACCAGACTTGATCTCCTTCCGCTGAGTGAGCGATCCAATCTCACTCCCAGTGCCATTAGCAGTACCATTCGCCGCAGGCGCACTCAAAGGCCTATACCCAGCCGCCTCAAACGCATCATTAGGAGGAACAGTATACCTCCCCTTCTTGAGCACATACTTGCTAATCGAAACGGCAAGCAGCCTCTTCCTTCGAACCTCGTCCGTCTCGGCCGACGCCTTCTCTCCCTTGCGCGGCTGCAAGAAGTACGTGACAATATAGATCCACTTCTCATCATAGGAAGCAATATGCGACTGGACCTCATACTTCATGTATGCCGGAATCTCGCGCTTGAAGCTCGTATAGACGCCGCCAAGAACGAAGTGGAGTGGGCCGCGCTTGCCCTGCTTCTGCAGACGCTTCTCGAGGAATGCGGAGCCCTTCATTACTAGTGAACACATGAGTGCTGTTCGGGAGACGTCCAGGTCGGAGAAGTATGTCGAGTTGGACTTGTGCATGTTCATGTCGATCTCCATGATTGGCGCGCGGGTGAAGATGCTTTTTGGTTTTATGAGGTCGCTGCTGGGTTTTGGCGATTGCTCGACGGCGGGGGTCATGAGGTAGCCATTTTGGAAGAAGTAGCGGTAGACGCGGATCTGGTTGTTATTAGTATATGTAGAAAACAAGACGGTGGTGACTGTCTTACATGCCACACGAAAGGCAGGGTTTTGAGGTTGAGCAATGCGAACCCGATTGCGAGGGCTTTCCAGAAGGTGAGAGACTCCCACAGCGAGGTGGCTAATGATAGTATGGATTTCATCTTGTATTACTCCCTCCACTGATTACACTTTGATATGAATATGCGCAGAACACAGATAGAAGACAAAGGGAAAAAGAGGAAGATTTCCTCAATGATGTAAATTTTCTTGACCCATATCTTATCTGATTAGGTGATCTTGAATTCTACGAAAATCCCAGCGAAACTGCCAATTCAACCAATCATCTACGAGAGGTAGTTGTGTTGGGAAGATGTTGAAGATACCTCGGCTCGGGATCAGCCCAAAACAGTAACAAGTCCGCCCCTTCGGCTCCTCCGGTGCCAAGACATGAATCGGCATGAATCTCTGTTCCGACGCCGAGATTTCTTCCTCCGGCGGAATTGCACCACACGGATAGTTATGACCTTATGGTTATGGTTGTGGCGTGCGAGTCCTCGGTGCCTTGCTAAACAGAGAGTGCTCTTTCTAGTCTGGTGCATATTTCTCCCACTAACAAACATGTTGAAGGATTGATCCTATGAGCATGACATGGTATTGCCGTATTTATATAGGCTTGCCACTATATATTTCTCATTCATTTGACTGGTTTGTTACAACACTCCTGGCTTCCTGGTTCTTAAACCCTGACATGAACCTGTTTAGCAATATGTAAAAGACTATCATTGATATATAAATCTATCCAAGAAACAGTCACAGCCTATTTCCCATGTTGACATGTACGGCCTTGATCCGACTATAGGCTGCTAGACCAGCTTCACCAAGCTCCCGCCCAATGCCGCTCTGTTTGACACCCCCAAACGGCACACGAGGATCACAGTCTTGACTACTGTTGATCCAGACCATCCCCGAATCAATCTCTGCGGCAACCCTATGCGCCCGTTCCAGATCTTTTGTGAACACGGCTGCGCCAAGGCCATAGATGGTATCGTTGGCTCGGCGGATGGCTTCTTCTTCCGTTGCGAATGGTTCGACAATAACAACGGGGCCAAAGACCTCCTCACGAACGATTGCCATGGAGTCTGTAGTACCTGTAAAAACAGTAGGCTGGATAAAATATCCATTTTTGTTTCTGTCTCCGTTGGCGACATAAGCACCTCCGCCGATGACCACCTTGGCACCCTCCTTCTTGGCCATCTCAATATGTGACAGGATACGCTCATACTGAGTTCGTGTCACCTGTGGACCCTGAAACGTAGATTCATCCCACTGATCACCGATCTTGGACGTGGTCACGACCGCCTGTTTGAACTTCTCCAGGAAGCAAGGGAAGACGTCTTGATGGACGTAGATGCGCGAAGTAGCCGTGCAGATCTGGCCTTGGTTCGACATAATGCCGAAATGCGACCATTTGACGGCTTGCTCCATGTCAGCGTCTGGGAATACTAGCAGCGGTGACTTGCCACCAGTTTCGAGTGTGATATCTTTCAACGTGCCCGCGGCCATCTTCATGATCTCTCTTGCTGTTTGTGTTGAGCCGGTGAAAGCAATCTTATCGACCAGATGATGAGATGCTAGGGCAGCACCAGCTTCGCGCCCGTAACCATTGACAATATTCACGACCCCAGGAGGGAATCCAGCCTCCTTAATCAGCTCCGCAAGCATAAGCGCGCTGAGAGGCGTCTGCTCAGCAGGCTTCAGAACAACAGTGTTCCCACAAGCCAATGCAGGGCCTAGTTTCCAGGTAGCCATGGACAAGGGATAGTTCCACGGGATGATCTGTCCCACGACACCAATCGGCTGACGAATCGTATACGCGAACTTGTTGGATGTCGTGCTTATGGTCTGACCCGCAATCTTATCAGCCCAGCCACTATAGTAACGGATGGTTGTAATAGCCTCAGTGAGGTCCTCTTCCAGGGCTACGTGGTATGGTTTCCCTATTTCGGTCAGCTGCGAACCATGAACTTGGAAGAGCAGCGTACCATTGTCCCATGCATCGATAGACGCTAGCAACTCCCGCTTTTGTTCCATCAGATCGGCCAGCTTGGCCATCAGTATTCCCCGGTCGGTAGCGGGAAGCTGTTTCCAGGACGGATGCACCAGCGCAGCCCGGGCGGCCTTCACGGCTCGATCTACATCCTCGGCGCTGGCTGCGTGGACTGTGGTGATGGGTTTATCGGTGCTACTTATGCATCAGTTAAGTTGACTCATATGAGTGCGTTGAAATGAAATGGTCCGGCATACGCAGGGTCAATTGAAGTGATAGTTTGCCCGCTCGACGCGGCCACGAATTCGCCGGCGATGAATAGACCAGTTGGCTGGCGGTAAACGTGATTATTTGGGGTCGCAATATCGACAAAGAGGTCTGCCATGGTTCTGATTGTCTGTATGTGTAATTGTATAATTGACGACGAGATTCGCAGTTTATGGCCTCTGAGATTCTGATATAGGCCTTCTTTATTCCTATCCAATCTCGTATCTGATTCAGAGGAGGACGGTGGGGGGTTCTACGGATCGACATGCCTAATGTGATGCCAGATGCATTATGGGTGGACGGGTACAAGTGCAAATCTCCTTCAGGAAGGTCCTTCCGAAATTTAGCGTCCTACATTCTGATTGGTTATTGAAATCAAGTCACAAGGCACAATCGGAGCTCACGGTCCAGTGTTTATGCATGACAGGAAGGATTTTGCGTTCCTTGATACCAAACAGCTGTAACAGCAAAGTCCAGAGGGAGCTAAATAAGTGAATATCCATTTTACTAAGTCGAGTGCTTGGGAGCAGTACGGCTGAACTGTGACAACTGGGAATATAGCTACAACTACAAGTAGGTTCAAGTAAGGACTCGGAGATTAGTTGACATGAGAAATCGCCTGTTCTGATGATGCTTCTACCAAGTATCGCTAGAAGAGAATGCTAGGAATGCTTAATGGCCTCAGCCGTCTTGCCCTACAGCCTTGCCAACTGCCCGTTCGGTTTCAGAACCGACAGATAGCTCTCGTTAATATCGCTAATAGATGTGCAGCTGCGATCATTAGTCGAGGACCTGAGTAAAGGCAGTTTAGGACTCACCCTGCAAGTGCCATGGTAATTTTTAACTCTTGCCGTAGAATCCTGATTGCCAACTCGACGCCCTCCTGTCCATTATACTGAATGAGATTAGCCTATCTGGTATAGCAAATGAGAACAAGACTTACGGCAAGGCCCCAAATGGGAATCCTCCCCACGAAACAGTAACTGGCCCCAAGTGCAAGGGCCTTGAAGATATCCGATCCTCGCCTGATGCCACCGTCGATCGCAAGCGGGATTCGCCCCCGTGCAATAGGGGCGCAGAGTCTCAGCGCGTCTAGTGTAGCTGGAATTCCGTCCAGCTGGCGACCGCCGTGGTTGGAGATCACGATTCCGTCGACACCGTAATGGATTGCTAATTCGACGTCTGCGGGGGAGCAAACTGTTCAGGATCATGTCAGTCAAAGCAATGCCGAGCCTTGGGAGAATGGGCTACGACGTACTCCCTTTGAGCCATATCTGCAACGAGGTATGTTTTCGGAGCCATGGGATTGTGCTTTCCCAGTCGAGACTTGGATCTGCTTTGGTTATTTCCTGCGATAACTCTGGGGACTAAGATTCCTACCATAGTCAGTACGGTTTGAGGTATCAGCGCCGCAACTGAGGATGTTTGGCCAGTTCATATCTTCAGGAAGAGTATAGCTATTCCGATATTCGTTGAGTCTCTTTCCGAGCACAGGAACATCGACGGAAAGGAATAGTGCCTTGTATCCCGCCTCTGCCGCATGTTAGTACGTATTTGCGTTAGGAGAAACGCGAGAGACTTACTTTCAGCCCGCTCCAGCAGCTGAATTGTAATTGATCGATCTCGCAACACACACATCTGCATCACGTACGGGTTCCCAGTCCCCTGCGCAGCCACATCCTCCAAAGAGTAATTCGAATACGACGAAAGTCCCATGCAGATGCCATACTTTGCTGCAGCCCGCGATACCGCCAGTTCTCCATCTGGGTGAGCTAGCTTTTGCGACGCGGCAGGGCTGAAACCAAACGGGAGGGAAACCTTGGTCCCGAGGATTTCCGTGGTTGTATCGACGTGGTCGACATTTCTCAGAACGCGAGGAAGGATCTTGTAGCGGTCGAATGCGGTTTCATTCTCCCGTAATCTGAGCAATCCTTCAGTTTATGTATCCTCGACAATTGGGATGAAACGTACGTTATTAGGTCCATTGCGCCTTCATTGTAGTAGTCTATGTGAAACAGTAAGTGGTGCGTGTGCCGCGAGCAGATTGGAACTGACTCACCTCTGACCATCTTCGGAAGCTTGCTGCTTCCTAGTGCTTTGAGGTCTGCTATGCAGGACACCTCGTTGTGTAGAGTCTCTCCTCGATGAGCCATCGTAACGATGATACTGTGTAGAGACGTAGACGGAAATATGTTGGGTATACGATGGAGAAATTACTTGAGGATACGCGACCTATCCGTCTTGGTTAAACCGCTGCATCGAGCCATCTGAATTCCTTATTATGCCATTTACAATGTGCTTTTTATTTTTCGCACGAACCTACCTCGGAGTTTCGTCCCAGAGCTCAGCGGAATCAACTACCCCTTCTGGATCGTTGCATGCATCGCCTGATGGACTTGCGGAACAACTTTCCAGAAGCACCATATTGTCCGATTTACCCACTACCAACATATATCATTCTGAAGGCCATGGATTGGAAGTTCCCAGTCTTACAGTATTGACCTTTCCTTCTGAACTTCGAACCCCGCGGAATGGCTACCCCTACTCGCATTTTCCTGTAGGTGGCTCTTCAACGATATACTACAAGGCCTCCGTCACTGACAGAACTATAGCACAGGTGCTTCGGGCTACATTGGAGGTGATGTCCTTCACGCGCTACGATCCGCCCATCCCGAGTATAGCATTTATACTCTGGTGAGGGACCCCAAGAAGGCCGCACTTCTGTCTCAAGCCTTTCCAAACGTCCAAGTCGTCTGCGGTGATCTCGATTCCACGTCCCTTATTGAAGAGGAAGCTCGTCAGGCCGATGTGGTCGTTCGTAAGTCGTTGAGCACGAGATAATGAAGTACCGCTGATAGTCTGCAGATACCGCGAGTTCCAGCCACATTGAAAGTGTCAAGGCTATTGCTCGCGGTCTAGCTAAACGAAGTGATCCTGGTAGGTCACACAGTCGTTTCCATGTACAATAGCACATGCTGACTTTATAAGGCTACTGGCTTCAGATCTCGGGCGCAAGTGTCGTTTCGATTGCCGACATCGTCAGCGACACCTACGGAGAAGGGACCGACAAGATCTTTGGCGATGTCGACGATGCCGGCGCGATCCGCGACATTATTCGCCAGAATGCGACTCGCCGTGTAGTTGATAACTTTATTCTTAACGTGACCGGCCCCAAGACAGCCCTTGTGTTCGCACCAATCATTTACGGACAAGGTCGAGGCATCATCAAGAAGCGAAGTATTCAGATCCCCGAGCTTGCCAGAGTCGCTATCGAAGCGGGACGAGCGATCCAGGTGGGGAAGGGCGAGAGCACTTGGAGCAACGTTCATATCTCCGACATCAGCGATCTTTTTGTAAAGTTGGTTGAGAAAGCTGTCCACAAGGACGCAGACAAGCACATGTGGAATCGGGAAGGGCTGTACTTCCCCGGCAACTCTATGCTAGTAAGTTGACGGCTCGGGGGAATTTGTCGTTGTTGTGTGTCAAAAGGCTGATGTGGGCAACCAGAGCTTCAAGGGGATTTCCGAGTTGCTTGCACAAACAGCCCATCGTCTCGGTTTGATAGAGTCACCCTTGGTCTCTGAGATCGACCACGTGGAGGCGGACAAGTTATCTCCTCACGGGGGAGTTCTATGGGGCACCAATGCCCGCCAGAACAGTCAACGGGCGAGGAAATTGCTGGGATGGTGTCCAAATGGCAGAAGTCTGGAGAGTGATATTCCTGATACAGTGGAGGAGGAGGCAAAGCGATTGGGGAAACTATAATATAATGTATAATAACGAAATGGACAGCAGTTGATATGATATTTGTATCTCTGCTTGTACTAATATGAGTACAGTGGTGGAGGAACAAAGACAGCCTTACAAGCTACCGAAGCTACTTCACTCAAGCTGTGAATCTCAATACACCGTCTTCAAGTGACGGAGATTGAAAGATAACATTAATTCGAAGCAATCACGGTATATTTTAAGGTTTCGGCTATCAAATGCGGGGTTAGTCCACTATTCACCTCAACCCCCAAATAGGTAAGTGCTTCCGATCTCGTTTGACCTCATCCCAAAGAGACTAGCAACTAATCACTTCAAAGATGTAACCTCCTTCGAGCGGTCCTTCGCAGCTTGGTTGACGCGGATTTATCCCTGTCCGTTTCTTCATGGCAATGACTCCGATAACTTCAACTTTCATTCTGCCCCGCCGGACTCACGCGCTAGGAGCATGTCGTACCTGCAGACGCCGGCATGTCAAGTGTGACCAAAAGCGTCCCTCGTGTCGTACATGTCGATCGCTTGGTGTCACATGCGAGCGTCCTCCAAGCAAGGTACGATGGATGCACAATTCCAATAACGGCGAGAGTGCAGAGGACCAACGTGAAACCCGCCGGCATCTTTACACAGGTGAGCGCCCTAGCCATTTTAGACGCATCCATGCATGATGATCGCCAGCTAATGCGGATACAGAGCAATCTAGATTGTCCATGGCATCCTCACTAAGCTCACGACTGGTCTCAGGTTCAATCAATGCGTCGCTGGCTGAGATTGACCTCCGAACCAGAGACATCGACAACCCTCCCACAGGCGATATCGTCGTCGGTCCGTTTGCAGTTCTAGGGCTGCCCACTCCTGAGTCCCAAAGGGGAGATAACGTGGTACATCAGCAGGCCGAACAAGATGAACCGGATTCGATTTCAGTCGAATCTGAGGCGCACCTTGCCCAGCCGGTCAGCCCGCCAAACATCGAAGACAGCTCCGACGCTATCGGCCAGCTGACGACATTCTCTCAAGCGTCTTTTATTTCGGACCCAGTGTGCCATTTTGACGATTTCCTCCACTGGTCGGATCTGCTTGGATGCAGTCCAGATGCTCTTGGCTGGAACGCTGCGCCATTGTCAAGCGACATGAATCTAGGGACAAACTTAGCCGCCCTCGGTTCCGATTTCGACATGGATCCTATGCCTCTCAATGGACCAGCAAATGTCGTGTCATTCTCAGACCCCCCAGATGGGGACGGCTCCTTGCAGGTGGTCGAACCGACAGAGATGGCCTCCACCTTGCTACATGCCGCTTCATTGGCAGAGGCGCCCTTCCTCTTCAAACATTTTCATGATAATGTGATTCCACAAACAATGCCTATGCCTCTGGGCAAGAAGTCTCCATGGAAGATTCTGAATGTACCGGCCGCAATGGTTACTTACAGCGACCTGACGATACTTGGTTCCCAGAATATCAACCATGCGCGCCAGGCCAATCTATACGGGTTGTTGGCCTGCTCTGCTATCCATCTATCTACGTATCCAAGCCCACCATCGTCAGATGCCGCCCGACATTGGCGAGGAACAGCCGAGAATTTATTCGAACAGGCCAGGGAACATATGCAACTCTCGATAAAGTATGAAACTCAAGAGCCAAAGAAGGCCAAGTACAAGGATCAACTAATGGCCATATGTTGCTTGACTGAGTACGCTGTAAGTTCATGACCTCCAATCTTATGTTCCCTTCCTGAGAACGAAGTTAACGGGCATAGATTTTGTCTGGGCAACAGCACTATGCTCGTGGGTTCCTTCTCAACGCTGAGTATATTCTGCGCATGCGGGGCCTGCCGAAACGACGGATCTCGCCAAAGGCGCGTCTTCTACACCATGTTTATACATGGCTGCGGCTTGTAGGCGAGAGTACCTATGTCCTTCATGACTATGAGCCCTCCGCCTCTTTTATAGAGGCTCTTAATTCCGATTTTCGCCCTCGAAAACCCGATCCACGTAATCAGGTTAGGAGCGAAGCGGATCAGAAGGTCCCGCAGCTCGACGACTTTCTGCGACTCGAAGCACACCATTCGGACAGTGATTTGAACATCGACGACCCCAAAGACCAGGAGACCGGGTTGCACGATATTCACCTGCAAGACTCGCGCAACTTTTCGGATACACTATACAAGCAGATTTACGGTATCCCTGAGACCTGGCTTACCCTCATATCCCAGACCACAAGGCTCGCCAACGTGATGGAGACGTTTCGAGTTGCACGTCAATCGCAGAGGAAGGCTTCTCTTGAGGCATGGGAAACACTCCACCGCCGCAGTGAGCACCTGGAAAATATGATCTGCTCATTTGTTCTGCGGCACAATCGCCGCGTCCGCTCCAAGCACCTGGACTCATCCAAACCTCATGAGCCAATGTTGCGAGCATTGAACGGCGCTCTGCTAATTTTCTTTTACCGGCGAGTTCGACAAGTCCATCCTGCTGTCCTAGCTGGTCATGTGGACGACGTTATTACAGCGCTGGCTGACTTCCAAAAAGCTGTACCAGCAGAGCATCCCATGAGCCCTGCAACTGCTTGGCCTATGTTTATTGCGGGGTGTGAGGCGCTTACAGCCTCCAAGCGGGACGCTGTCCTTCAATTTTTCAACCGGGCCGAGTCAATCTGCCGATTTCCCATTTTTCAAACAGCCAGGGAAATTCTGACAGACGTGTGGAACCAACAGGACCAGCATTTGGAGACGAATAGACGGGATCCGATGCCAACGTGGATAACCATTGTCAGACAAAAGAATCTATGGCCTCTTTTTTGCTGATGACTTAGAGAACGATACCCTGAGACGCTACTAAATGCATTACTATGCCTACTATGTTAAGTCAGTACCTCAATTACAGGCAGACCATTACTGAGGGTGGTATACTGGACTACCTGTCAAGGACATTACTTATTGTTCACTATGCCTTTCGTAAGCTTTGCGGTAGATATCATCTAGCCATTTATACTGTGCGTACCCCCGCGTCAATCAGCAACTGCTTCAGCTCTGCCTGCAATTCAGGGCCAAGTGACTTGAAAGGCTTTCTGAGGCCCCCTGTGGCTTGTCCAGTCAGCTCCACCCCAGCCTTGACAGCAGCAGCATAGTTATGCGATTCCAAAAACTTGCAGATGGGCCAGATCTTCGTCCACAGCTCACGTCCTCGCTTCAAGTCTCCCTTCACCGAAACAGTCTCGTATAGCTCGACCGCCAGTTCGGGAATGAAATTGGCCGCTCCCCACACCCCGCCGGGACAACCGGCCGCAAGACCGTAGAAGGTCAGTGTATCCCAGCCATTGAATGCGGTTATCTTATCCGAAAGTCCAAAGACCAACTCAGTGAAGGCGGGGGCGTTCCCCGACGTGTCTTTCAGATACTTGACGCCCACCTTGGACAATCCCGCAATCTCGCTGGGAGTGAGCGTCAGACCTGACGCGCTAGGAATATTGTAGTACATGATAGGCAGGCCCGAAGCGCTATGAATCTCCGCCATGAGCTCAGTCAACTGCTCCAGATTGACGGGGTCGTAGAACGGTGGCACGACCATCAGCGCTGCGGCGCCAGTGGAGGCTGCGTGTGTCGCTAGCTCGAGGGCCTCAGCTGTGGAGGTACTTCCTGTCCCGACGACGACTGGGACGCGGTTGGCGGCGAACTTGATGCATAGCTCCGTGAGCTCCTTGCGCTCTGCGGTCGTCATGGTAGTGAACTCGCCGGTGCTGCCGCCGGGAACGAGTCCGTGGATGCCGGCTGCGATGAGGCGGTCGATGTGTATTTTTAGACGGGCTGCATCAATGTGTTTCTTGTCGTCTGTGAAGGGGGTGATGAGGGCGACGAGGAGGCCGTGCAGATCGGACATTTTGGGCTTGTATAGGTGGTAGACGAGATAGAGGGATTGCTTGTTGTGAAAGAGATCTAAGGAACTGGTAAGGAATCGGGTTGTATCTCTTTGTGGAATCCACGAAGAGTGCTAGATATAGATGGACGCGATGTTTGGGATAGGAACCACTTGCCCTTCTGGGACCTTGGCACGATGGTAAGGGAAGGCTTTCCGTCCAGCAAGCCACCCAGGCCGATAGCGGTATACAGATTACTATCTCGGAAGATTCCTATCGACAAAAGCTGGCCATTACTTTATGGGAACTTAAATAGTACCCGAGGTCTTGTGTCACGAGATATGGCATTTTGGGTAGTCCTGAGAAGACGCAGTATACGGTTGGAAAGGATGTGAGAAGCTTTCAGTGAAGTATATCGGTATTCTTACAATCGAGGTATCTTTTACGACCTGTGGGTCATGTCGAGAGTACTGCACGACTTAATGCTGTAATTCTACCGCTACAACGGTCATTAGCACCTGAGTATACACATGTTATGTAGACTGGCGGGCAGTCTGCGTTGGCATTACATGCTAGCAACAAGTATATGTCATGTGTTTCTCTAACAGGACACAGACAGATAGACTACAATGGTGCAAAGCATCTCGTTAGATAGGCAAGTCCCCGACGCTCGATCAGGAAAGCCATCCCGAAACTTAATCTCGCCTGACCTCGCCTCTCTTCAGCGGCAGACATGCCCCCGGGGTACACGCCACAACATCCAAGAGGCACAAGTCTATTATCAATTACATTAACCGTAACCCATTTCCTTTCCTAGATGGCTTGAAACCTCTGCGGGACTGAAAACGTTGCCTATCTAGGTGGGGTCTTCTCCGGGTCGCTGTGGCTCTCCCCAACTTACCCCGGATTACGACCAAGATTGACAAGATAAGAGGGACTATATGAAGGCTCGCCTTCCCCACTGTCAAATATGGGACTCATTCATGAAAGCGACAGCTATCAAAATGACCTCGCGTATTGTTTCTTTATCTCCTGATGATTCGAAAATCGACATGGACGCGGAAAGCCAGACACAACCTCAAAAGCCGGAGGACATGGACCAGAAGAAAGAGGAGCCAATGCCGCCTGTCCGTCAGGATGCCTTTGGTGACGAGGAGTTTGCCGAGGTCAAGTACAAAGTTCTCAAGTGGTGGTGCGTTTTCTCATCTTTCGCTCACATTGCCCAGGAGTAGATGGTTGCTAACTTCTTCAACAGGCAAGGAGGACTGCTCATGGTTGCCGAGACTATCTCTTTGGGCATCCTCTCACTTCCTGCGGCTGTTGGAGCCGTCGGACTAGCACCAGGCCTCGCCATCCTCATCAGTATGGGCATCCTAGCCAGCTACAACGGTTACGTTATTGGACAAATAAAACTGCGATTTCCTCATATTTCTAGCATGTCTGATGCGGGAGAAGTCCTGCTGGGCCCATTTGGGAGGGAACTCCTGAATGCAGCACAGATACTGCTGTTGATATTCATCATGGCAAGTCATATTTTGACATTCACTGTGGCATTTAATGTCATTACGGGTCATGGTACTTGCTCCATTATTTTCGGAGTCGTAGGAGCCGTGACTTCCTGCCTTCTCTCGCTGCCTCGCACGTTGGAGAAAGTCTCATGGCTGTCGCTCGTTTGTGAGTTCTGCTGCCCTCGACCGACTACTTAGAATTTAACCTGTAGCAGCATTTGTCAGTGTCTTTTCCGCAGTGATGGTCACCATGATCAGTATTGGGATCATCAAGCCAACCTCGACATGGGCAGTCGCCAAGCACACAGATTTGGTGACTGGCTTTGGTGCCGTTACGAACATGGTTTTCGCATATGGTGAGTATAATATAGCCATATACCCAGTGCTATTTCTGACAATCAACAGCCAGCCATAATTCCTTCTTCACTTTCATTGCCGAGCTCAGCGACCCCAGGGAATTTCCCAAGGCGCTTGCTCTTCTCCAAAGCATTGATATCTCGCTCTATATCGTTGCTGCGGTCGTTATATACTACTTTGCCGGCGAGGACGTGACATCACCCGCTCTGGGGTCAACAGGTCCATTGATCGCCAAGATTGCGTACGGCATTGCCTTGCCTACTGTAAGATAATTCCGCGACCTCCAACTCTCAGCGATCTAGCGACTGACCCCCACAGATTGTCATTGCAGGTGTCATCAACGGCCACATCGCCGCCAAAGCCATCTATCTGCGCATGTTTGCTGGGTCAACTCGCATCCATAAGCGTGACATTGTTGCTGTGGGCTCATGGATAGGAATCATGGCTGTTCTCTGGACCATAGCTTGGATCATCGCCGAGGCTATACCGGTGTTTAATGACCTTATCGGGTTGATTGTCAGTTACCACGCAGCGCGCATCCTTCAAGTTAACTAACGAATACTAGGCTGCACTGTTTTTGAGCTGGTTTACCTTTGGCCTGCCAGGAGTATTCTGGCTGTATATGAACAAGGGGATGTGGTTCTTGTCGCGGGGGAAGATTTTCTTGACTCTTGTCAACGTGTCTTCAGTGTGTATTGGATTGGTTGTGGTAAGTATATACCTTGCTGGGACACAACGCTTAGGCTAATTGATCAGTGCGCCCTTGGGCTTTATGCATCTGGTGTCTCGATTCATAAGGATCCGGCCGGCTCTGTTTTTTCATGTGGTGCTCGCAGTTGATTTCGCCTTCTTTCTATGATATTACACATGATGAACTAAAGGACAAACATAGGAATGACTATGAATATCTCGGATGTACCTTGTATATTAACGTTTATTTTGCTTGAGAGCATGACAAAGTTCATGGTGTGTGACTTTGCAGCATACCTAAAATCAGATGGGACACTATAAAGATCGTAGAATAATATATAGCAAGATATTTATCTATAATATGGTGTAGTTATAGTATATAAGTGTCTATGATTTACATTACTTATAGTATAAGTAGTACGTGCACCTAGTAATATGAAATAGTGAATGAATACTATTTCTGATCTGCTGCAGACCGTAGATGACAATTAATCCACATCTACTATTGGGAACACTAGACTTTCTATATTGAGATATTAAGGTAGTATTTCGTAGGAGATAGCTGCACTTGAAAGCCAACTAGTTAAGTCTCAATATTAGATATCTTGTTATATTCTGACATAGGGTATTTGTGATAGTCCCAGTTCAGTGTCCACTTGATCAAGTATTGAAGCTCCCTTATACTTCATTAAAGAGGCGACTAGCCTGAGCTAACGAAACGTTGGCTACAGATATAATGGGAGAAGTCGTGCAACTAAGGCTAAAAAGCCTGATATGACTGCTAGTGAGGCCATTTACAGATGCTTTGTTCGGAAGAAGAAGCACCTGAATAATGCAACCTCCTCCAGTAGAGATAAAAGGCTGAAGACCTATCTAGGATCATATAGTGGACACCTTCAAAAATTTATCTTTCTTTCTCCTTCGGGTAAGTTCATGGACCTTTCCAATATTTTCCTTTCCATCCGAGACCTTAGCCGACCAAGATGCGCCCAATCTTACCTGCACCTTCCAAAGTAGAAGGAAATTCAGATTCCTTGGCTCTCCGAGCTCCTTACCCAGAAACTAAAGTTAGGAAGCGAGTCTCAACAGTTCCTACTATGTGCAAAAAGAAGCAGACAAAGGTTTATGGGCAAGGTTAAGGGTTAAGACAGTGACTAAAACTACCAAGTTTCTTCGTTATCTTCGTACGATGAACCTGGAGTAAAGGTCGTCAGGCAACAATTTTCTCCCGCCCTCACGTTTCTTCCAAACCACCAACTTGTCGCATCGATCATCATACCTGATAACAGCCTTCACACCACTTTCCTTGACCACAGAGATAAGATTTTTAATCAATACGACCAATTTCCCCAGATCCGCATGGTGATCTTCCTCCCACTTCTTAAGTTCACCACTAACATCTTCAACCTCTGGTCGCTCAAACAAACCATTCCTGTGGTAGGCACGGACAAGGTTCGGAGTCTGGGATACCCACAGCTGTGGAAGAACTTCGTCAATTTTAATAGGTCTCTTGGAGGTGCGTGTTTTGATCTCGAGGGTTGATTCGATCGGCACGACTTGGCCTTTTTCCAAGATCCTCAAGGTTGACTTGTCCGAGCCCACATAGCAAGGTTTTGGAGGGGAAAGAGACAGTGATTCAAGCATGCTGGATAGGTTGTCGCTGTCTTGCAACGGTTTCCTACTATCAGTCGATGGCGTCGATGCCTTTGAAGGTCTCGCAATGTATCCGTCCGTCTCATAGCGCACCAACAGTTTCATACCACCGAGCCGGTAGGAGATAATCCTGTGATGTCCCGTACTTCCCTTCAGCTGGACCGTCGTATACGCCTTCTCAAACTCATGCCCAAACCCCTTGTATTGACGTGGTCCGATAACCTCGAACGTCTTTGTCTCCGCACGACAGAATATAGCGGTATCGTTCATGACTTCAACCTCAATAGTAAAGGGTTCCAATCCTTTCTTGTCTAAGCTAGGGTTGACAAATGACAAGAGCTTGCGCATATTGTTTCGATCAGTCACCAGATCCACGGACCGGATATCGAACGCAGGGTGTGCGATATACAAGGCCCGAAACAAGGGTTCAAGCGGACTTTCTGGGTGGCGAGCGGCGTTCTGGGCTATGTAGATGAGACCGGAGTCTTTCTTCACCTGCCTCTGCGCGGCCTGTGGCGGAGTCCATAGGGCAGGGCTACCAGGGATGGCGATCGTAGGTACAGAGGCTTCAACCCAGTTGTAAGAGGATAGGTGTTCAACGTCAGTGATTGATACTCTCGCCAAGTGACTTTCGAGATCGGTGCGAGAGATCTCGGCGATTTTGATAGAGGCCATAATTTAATCGCCTAGTGAACTGGGTAGCCGTCAAATGATGAAATGAAAGCTTAGGCGTGGGTGCGATACCAATCTATTAAAGGGTGAGAACTACACTGCTAAGTCGGCGGCGTTTGTCTGCCAACGCATATATGCATTTCACCATGTAAGTGGAGAGGCTTCCCTGGTACAGTACAGCAAGATGCCACACCTCAGACTGCTCAGAATGGTCGCTAATGTCCACGATGACGGTATTAAGCGGATATAATTGGAGTCTACACGACATTCTATGGACTTAAGGACCAACTTAATCTGAAGACAAGCTCGCCAGCACATCTCTTGTAATTCTCCGTTGACTGGAATAACGTACATGTACGTGTCGAGGGTGGACACGTAATTGACAAGCAAACTAGGTCCTTGGAACCGACTCAACCTGGTAGCGTCGCACTGCTGTCTTTCATGGACGGGGATTGGAGAGAGTGTAAACTGTAGTGCAGAATAATTGGTCGGTACAGGTGAGGCTTGCCACCGTGTGATTCCCTGGCAGCAGCTGTACGTGCCGAAGAGCTTGTAGCAAACAATCTTAATGCTTTCACACAGCACGCCCAAATCGCAACCCACCACGTTTACGGTAAGAATTATTTCATCCAAACTACCCCCGATACCGATATCGTCATCTCATACGATATGATTGGTTTACTCTTCTTACCGCGGGTTGTTGTGGCTTCTTTGGATCATTGTCGTAGTTTTGGCCAAGCTCTTCTACATCTAGGTTACGGTCTTTTTTGTGGCCCAAGGCAGGAGGTCAACGGAGAATTGGTATGTGGTACCGGGGACAAGATTCTGCACGGTTTGATTGATGGCCCAGGACGCATACCCCCGGCCGGAAAGAAATCTGAAGCCCAGTTAGTTTGCTTTAGCTACTCCCGCTCCTCCTGGTTTAGGATGTCCATACAGAGAAGAGGTGCCATCGGTTGCATGTGCGTTCGTCGTCGTGTGCCTGGACCAGGGACAAGAATGAGCTAATGACACAATAATCAAGGTATGTCGGCCAAATCCGAAGCTGTTGGAAAGCACAGAACCATATGAGATTACTGAATTACTAGTAATTTACCTACTATTTCTTATTAATGGTGATCCTATAAGGGATTTACTTAAGTAAAAGATATCTACTAGTACTCTAAAGATTTAACTACCTAATAGACTCAGGGGAAAACTACATACTTTATAGATAGAATATATCTACTAGCCCTGCACTTTACTTTCTGTTTCTCTTTATATAGATTGAAAGCCTAAGATTATGTAGAAGATATTATTAGCTGCTAAGGCCTTCACTATACGAGATGAATAGTGTATTAATTTTTTGTTATTTCTATGCTTCTAGGTCTCTCTAGATAGAGACTCTCTCTAGAAAGCCAGGTAAAAATGTATATTACTAATCCTCCCTATTGTTATACTGTTCCGATGCAGCATTGATACCTACCAAAGTCGCTTGACTTACGAAAATCAGTCAATCAAGCATTTCAATATTTAAAATTGACGCTTATAGACGTCATTGCTGACTGTTCGAGCATTTATAATGCCTGGGCTGCGCAATAAACCACTCCCCAAGAAAGAAGGCCTCCCACACGTCAACTTCTCACCAGCGCTCGGCTAATCACTTGATAATAAGGCCATGGTTTATAAACTGAGAAAATCTATTATATCTGCAAATTTTGAAATCCACTTTGCTTGAATGTGATCTTGCATGGAAATCGTACTCTCCCCCCTCGCATTAGCTTCCCATTCATCTCTTTCCAAGGCATTCCACAAGGGATCATTGCTTGGTAGTGGGAATTGGAGTTCACTCGCGTGTAGCAGAGCGCTGTTCTCTGTACTAGAACTGCTTATTTTCGCACAAAACTTGTAAAGTGCTATACCAAAACGTTTGACTTCTTCAATGCCGACCCAAACAAATGAGGGTAGATCAGCTTCGCTATACCTGGCAAGCATGTTCGGATAATAGAACATGCCCAGTTTTCGACAGCTGCCAATAAGTGATGTGAGTAATGCTAAATCAGCAGCGGAGATAGACACTTTAAGGTCGAGGTTAACAACACCATTAGCCTTCACGATAACAGAGAAAAAAACATGGAGTAGGATAGCTTGGTATGTAGCAATGGGCCATAAGCAAGCACTGCAGGCTCCCTCTACTTCTGAGGCATCCCATTTCTGCTATAATTTACAGGTCAGTAAAGCAGGTACATCATGGGTTGGTTATCTGACATACCCGTTGATCCCGAATGGCAGAGTCAAGTATATCATGAAGCTCCACTGCCGCTGACTGCGCAGATTGTTCTCCTGATGTCCACATGCCCAGAGCCATGACTGATTGTAGGAGTAATGGGGTTTCCTGGTGCATATCGAATGACCCTCTATGGATGAGAGGCCATCGCGGATGGAATATCTCGAAATAGCGGTCAATCCACTTCTTCCTCTTCTCCCCGTAACATATCTGTGACTCTTCGTGGTTTAGGATTGGAGAGGGTGGGGTGGAAGATCGGGTTCGATGCGCTTCTGAAATACTATCATGTTTTTGGAAAGAACATTGTACGTTGCGACGAACACACTCCTCGCATGGTATGCCCCCTTCACACCGAGACTTGCCTGCATGGCAACTCACACAGGCTTGCCGCGCACGACTTAGAGGCTCTGTTAATTTGTGCTGCTTTCGTATGTGACGTCGAAGGGTGTCCCTAATTTTAACGTCTCTAGCGTAAGAAAGACTGTTGCAAAAAGATGAATATAGTACGTGGCTACCTTCGTTGATATTCGCGGCCACAGCTGGAACAAATAAAAACCTGCTGCTTTGTATGTTTTGCTCTCTCGTGGCGGTTCAGGTGTTCTTTACGCTGGTATCTAGCATTGCAGCCAGGAAATTGACACTGAAATGCGTAGTATGTGAAAGGGCCAGGGAGACCTTGGAGCAACTCAACCTCGGTGTCAATTCTTTCCATGGAGAAGTTACTCCGACATGCACGCAGAAGATGGCTCGAATGATGAAGGGTCGGGTGTACTGAGCGTCGCGTGGGTGTTGAGGCTGGAAGTTGACTTTTCAACCATCCCCACCGCGTCCCACCGGCATCCCATCGGCCTCCCACCGGCCTCCCACCGGCATCCCATCTCCTTCTTTACTGGTAGAGAATCGGGGCATGCTTTGAGGCGCTTCGGAATTGAAAAATCTCTCACAGAAATTCTTGAAGAGTAAAGAAGGTGTATAATAAATCGGCACTTTTATCACAGTAATAAGTGGCTTGGGATATTGGAAATGGTACGACCATGTGTAGATGTCATAGTCTGTTCAGTGGGATGCCGGCGGGCGGCCAGCAGCAAGCCAGACGTCTTCGCCACAGAATAGTATTCAGCGAATCACCACTCTCGCGCTCCTCTATCTTCTTATTAATGCCTTCTGTATCACATCTAGGCTATTCATGGCAAAGGCAAAAGCTGGCTATAAGTATCTAGAACAGCCCCGATACTTTGCCTATATCTCAGCGTGAAATACATCTGCTACCTCAAAAGACCATGGCTCCTTCTATCCTGATCGTCGGTGCCACTGGTAATACCGGCCGGGCTGTCACTCAGACGCTGCCAAAGTTGCTTCAATCAAGCAGCACCCTACGTGGAAACCGCATCATTGCTCTGACTCGCTCCTCTAGCAGCCCAGTGGCGCAACAGCTCGCCAAACTGCCTGGAGTTCAAGTTATTGAGCAGAACTGGGTTGAGATCACCGCCGACTGGCTCCGGGAGCACCATGTTACGAGAGCCTTTATCGCATCCCACAATGCACCTAACCAATTTGCCGAGGAGTCGACATTCCATCTCAATGCCCTCCACGCCGGCGTCAAGTACGTCGTGCGGATCTCGACTACTGCTGCGAATGTGCGCCCAGACTGTCCTGCCTACTATGCACGCCAGCACTGGGCCATCGAGGCTCTACTCGGCTCGCCCGAGTTCAACGACTTGCAATGGACGTCCCTTCAGCCAAACATCTTCTCGCCACTTATCTTGTCCCCCGCTGCGGAGTTGATTAAAAAGTATCGCAAGACTGGAGAGCAAGACTCCCTTCGTCTGATGCTGTCAGAGGATGCACCTGTCGGGATCATCGACCCTGACGAGGTTGGTGTTATTGCAGCTTATCTCTTGTCGCAAGATGACACTTCCGTGCACAATAAGGCCAAATACATTCTAAATGGGCCTGAGGACATAACTGGAAAGCAGATTGTCGACATGGTCGAGAAAAATATTGGTGTGCCCGTCAAAGACGTCATTTACAAAGACGTCTCTTTCATCGACACGCTGTATGAATACCAGTACGCGGCAACAAAGGAATCGAAGAACGTCATCTACTCGATCAAGCGGGCCCCCGAGACAGCGTGGGACGGGAAATGCTCGGCTTCTACAACCAGCAAAGAGGTGCTGGATCTTGCGGCCCCAAAACGGACTCCTGCTGATGTTTTAGAGTCTTTACTAGAGGTGTGAGGGGACTGTAAGTAAGCTGAAAAGGACGTGAAACAGCTACTGCGCACTTGAAACGGAAAGAAAGACAGTTATTATAAGTATATATGGTTTAAAGCAGAATAATAAATGGTCGTGGATTGGCACAGGTGCAGATTAGTTAATGGCTCTCTCGATTGCTTCATCAGGAATCCAATCCATATCAAATTACTGTGTACTCTGTGTAATTCAACCTGCCCCAAAATGCACTAATGGTTGCACACCCTGCCTGGATGATGCAGAAGAGCCGCGCAACGGAGCATACCAGGTACTAGGTAAAACTTCGGACCGCTAAACCTCTAGATTGAGCGAGTCCTGAGCGCAAACGAAGGGCTAGTGATTTTGTTTGCGTCAAGGTCATGACGCAGCAAGTCCTTGCTAGCAGGATTTTGTGAAAGATCCCCTTATTTTGGGTGACAAGTTCATTCGGTTAACATCGGAAAGTAGGGAAGACTCAATTTATAACCGAGCTACTAGGGATACGGCGGTTTCAGCGCTTCTGCTTCGCCATCGCGACGCAAAGTCTATTGGAGGACGGGAATTTAGGTATGTATCGTTTACATTAGCAGGACCACTGCTCACGCTGAGCGTTCACTCTGATAGACAGAGTATCCATGCCATCCTGACTACCATTTCAGTGCAGATTCGGACGCGGGTAAATACATATTAAGCGACGGCAACGGGGGATGATGCTCTGAACACTAGCAAGACTAAGAGATGACTCGTTTGGACCAGATCTAGGGGCTTGTGCAGCAAGACTAAGGGACGGTTTTCTTAACCTAACCTAGGGGCTTGTATCATGCTTTTGCGTGATGTCGTCGCGTTCAGAACTCATCATCCTCCCCCTTCGGGGCATCCTCTCTTCGGTATACCCGAAGGCAGGGAGCCTTGAAAAGCCTTTGGGCCTCAAAGAACGGCTGCGAAGAGGCCTCCGTACCGTAGCCTGCGAGGCTAGTGTAGTTTCGAAAGCCAATACTTGGAGTCAGTCCGAGGGAAAAGAGTACATCGGTCCGTGGCCCACTTATTAGAGAAGAATCTATAGCCTTGTCTCAGGGTTAGTATCTCATATCGAGTACATAAATGTCAAATGAGCGACAGCTCTTGCCCGAGCAGAATAGTCACAATGGGTCTACAGAGCGACATAAAGATGTGAGAGGTGGTAAGTCCGTGTCAGTTATGCATCCAGACACACATGATCAAATCAGCGATTAATATAATTCGGGCTATCCAGCATAGCCGGTATAGTAGGCTCAATCTCCTGGAGACCGCGCCAAATTCTAAACTAAATCATTCTCCCACAGATATGACATGGATTTGAGAAGGAAGGCATTTTCTTGTTTATACTGATGCACAAGATCATCCCACTCATCCTCAACGTATTCAGACCGCTTCGTTGTTGCCCCGGAAATTCCCAGGTCAATCATCTTGCGGTTCTATGCGAGCGTCAAGCAGGGCAAGCAGGCAAGGGAAACAAGCACAGACTCACATCAACTACTGCAATGACCTTTTCGACCTTGTCCAGGGAGACGAAATATGCAACCGGCTCTTCTTCGTTATGGTCATGTGCGTCAAGGCCAACATGGAGAGTGTCATCAATCTCGTCAAACTCCCCTTCACCATGGTATATAGCAACGCCGTGGATGCCGTTCGCATCTTTGAGGTACACGAACCCACGTAGACTAACCACATCCATCGTCACCCGAACACCTGGATATGGCCAAACCCTATGGGCATCGAAAGGGCCTCTATGTTGTTGAAGTGCGTATGTCTTGCGTGTCATCTGCCGCGCTCCAGGGGTAGCGTAGCCAAGCATGGCGCTGGGACGACCATCATCAAAGATAAACTCGATCCCGGTGATGTTCACTTCTCCTGCTTCTTGGAGTGCAGATATAGCAATCTTGCATAGCGACGATGTTATCTCCACGGACTCGATAAACGTGTTCCGACGGGTGATATTGTGATAATGCTGCAGGGCTGGACTACCCCGGAAGTCGGGCGGACGTGGCCTCCCACGGCGTATAGCCGAAGCTGTGTCTCGAAGCCAGCGCAAGGTTTCCCAGGCCCGAATCTCTATTTCAAACCAATCACTACAGTTCAAACGTGCAGTGCAATGGTACAGGAGTCTCCAGTCGATCCCATGATCGCCCTCCGGTGGGGAGAATCTCCGGACTATGGGCAGGAGAAAGCCACGTTCTCCGTCGACGGCAAATCGCGTTCTCCAGAATTGTGAGCTCGCGAAAAGTGGGATTGCAGCTCGTGTCACACGCCGGAGGTCCAGAGCCTCCTTTGTCGGTAGCATGCTTGATATAATCACAAGGATGTCAAACGAGAGTTGTCCGAAGCCATCTATTGGATGGCTGACGGGCCTTTGCGCGATAATTGACGAGGGCTTGGGAGGGCTTTTTGCGAACCGCATCAGCTCTTCCAGACTCGGAAGGGGAAACCGGCCAGGGAGGATGGGGAATTCATGTTTGTCGTCTTCCGTTCCAAGCCAGTTCCATAGGCCTATCCTGCCTGGTAATGAAGCATATGAAGGAAAGGTATAGTCTCTCGGGAGTGGTAAACGCTCCAATGCCGCAAAGAGACTGGCCAAATGAAGTTTGTCAGGGCCGAAATGCTCCAAGAGATGATCCCAGCACGGCTGCTCATGAAAGAGATACACGTCCGTTCCATTCTGTATCCCACTCCAGAGTGACCTACACCAGGGGTCCTGCCTGGGATTGGTCACTTTCACACCAGTCGGTGTGCAATAGACTTAACCAAGTTAAATGTATTTATTAACATAAAGCTTCTGATGAACCGTCAGTCGTCGACTCACTTGCTTTGAGCCACTTATCCTTCCCTTCCCTAAGGCCGCAAACCATGCAAAACGGCGGTTCGAGATGACCACTCAGTTTTGCTGCTGAGAACATTGTTGTTTGGCGGAGACATTCGATAAAACAATAACATACTGTTCAAGGCTGCTCAGCGCGATAGATATAACCTTCCCCCGCCCACACGATGCAATAATACCATAATGTTTATGTCAACATCTACTCGTCAAGGGCCTGACCAATATCGCGAAGATATTGGTCAGGCCCTTGGCGACGAGTACATGAACCATGGTTGTATTCAACATGTTAGGTGAGCATGCACCCAAGGAACAATACACAATGTCAATTCAAGCGAAGGAATGACTTCATATAGAAGGAAGTTGAAAGATAATTCATTATTCTGTCTGCTCAACAAGAAAGCAGATCTTATATATAAGATTGTGTTGCTGCATTAACAATAGTAAAGAGTGTGTAGGGCGAATATATGTATCTTTTGGACTGATCAAGAAGAAAAGCAGCAACATCAACGACAGCAACAACAACAACAAAAACAACAGCCGCAGCAGCAGCAACAACAGCAATGACGAGAATTGTAAAAGGAAGTCTATGTTCAGTTGAAAATGTAAAGTTGATGTCGAATCTGACGGATTCTTTACAGCAAGTCATCATCAACAAAGGGGGGTGCTTCCAAATGGAAGCACCGCGTGTCAGCCACCCCCGGGCCATGCGCCAGAAGGACAAGAAGGCCATTAAGAAGAAGAAGGCAAAAATGGATTCATCCATCAAGACGCTGGTAAGTCTGTCATTGCCACTATATACGTATAGTAGTGAGCCAAGGCTGATATATGATATTATAATATTAGCGGGCCGAGGTTGATCGGCTCGAGAAGGCCGCCGCGGCCGAACAAGCGGAAGCTGCGCGCAAGCGCAGCAAGGCCCAGGAGCTCCTAAAGGCCATCAAGGAGAAGGAGGAGGAGAACGAGAAGGAGGAAAAGGAGAAGGAGAACAAGGAGGACAAGGAGGCGAAGAAGGGCAAGGCCAAGACTTGTGCCTTGGTTGTCAGAGCAAAGGAAAACGAGATGGAAATGGAATAAATTAACGGATGGGATAAGACATAGTAGATATTAAAACTACTGAATTCTTTTGTTTCAGTTTCACTCATCTCTGTAGGACTTATTTGTGTACTCTGCACTCTTTACTAGGGAGCGACATGAGCCTGTTCCCCTACCACCAAGACAGATGACTTGATTGAGAAATCTGATTAAGTTATAAGTTGCTGTTCAAGGCTGCTCCGCGCGATAAATATAACCCTCCCCCGATGCAATAATACCAGAATATTCATGTCAACATGTAGATGAACCTTGTTCATACAGCACGCTTAGATAGGAGATCCATCTCTGTTCGTCCCTTATCAGTCTATACAGACACGGTTAGAGAAGCAGGCACATTATCCATAAATTAGTCAAAGCTCATGATATCGTCATTAAAACGCACTATAGTCAGCTTTTAAAGCTCAGAGAGAAAATACCTTACTTATATAGAATCTACTTTCTATCATCAAATAGGGAGGATTAATGATCTTCGCAGACTTTCCAGATAAGAAAGTCTTGATTGGCTAGACACAGCTATCTCTGATAACCTACTCCCGCTAGCTCCAAAATAATGTAGTCTTGATTATGCTTTATTTCGCGAAGCTTCTCTTGAATTTTAGTTAGAGCGGGGCCTTCTTCGATTCCTCCTTTTTGCTCTTTCTTTTTCTACTTGTCTTTCAAAAAGTGTATATATATCGCTTGAAAATCTCCAATGGCCACTCTGTGGCGGCGCATCCTCCCTCAACGCGTCGCCAACAGCGGCTCTCAACTGCGCGACCACCAAGCCAATGAGCGCACATTCCTCTCATGGACCCGGATGGGGCTGGGCTTCGCAGCCATGGCTCTCGCCCTCGGCCGTCTAGACGCAATCGATCGCATTATCTCCTCGGGCTTATCAAGCTCCAAATCAAACCTACTTGTGGTTCCCGACAATGCCGGAGCTGGAGCCGCAGCCACAGCCGGGCGCACAGGCAACAACATCAACAGCACAGAACAGCAGCCAAATCAAATTAGTACGTATCTGGGGAGTGGGCTTTCTGCAGCAACGCTCTGCCAGACCATCAGTGTGTGGTCGTTTGGGTATGGGATTTTCCGGTATCTGTCTGTGAGGCGGAACCTGCTGAAAGGGCAGTTTACGCCGGCGATCTGGGGGCCTGCCTTTATAACGTGTGGGTGTTTGGGGGTGTTTAGCTCGATGGGCTTGTGGATGGAGCGGAGGGATAAGAAGATGCATTAGGCTAGTTTGTTCTATCATTCTGTTCTACTCTGACAGAGCAGATAATCTGATTCTTGTACAGTGTCAAGTCCTTAACAATGAGGCCAGTTGGGTCATATATTCATATTCTGAACATACTCAGTGCAAGCCTCCAGTTTCTTTCTACTCTGTATGAGTATCGCTTTGATGGAAAGCGCAACTTTGACTTGACTTGATCAAGCAAAGGAAATCATCCCTTGACAGGTTGCCACAGACTAAAAGTCACCGAATTATTTTCCGCGAGTCTCTTCCATTGCTAAACGGTCCAAATCGGAGTAGGGACCAGGTAACCGACAGTCATAGAGGTCCACCATCAATATTTGCAATGCCACATCCCTCAGGAGGGACAAGGCTCCTCATCTCTTGGATGAACTGCTTTAGTTGTGATAGAAGCTTCGTTCGTCTTTAACTCCTCGCTTCGGTACATCCACCGAACCGCAATCATGTCGCCATGAATTCTTTCCCTGAGAATATAGGTCCAACCGCGATGTTCGAGGGCGCAAAAGACCTAAGGCACAGGAATGGATGTATGGCTGGAAATATAACCCATTGTCGAAGCTTCAGATAGCTAGACAGGCGGCCCATACTTGATACAGATTGCGCGAGAGAAGAAGAACGCTCCCTGCATGTGGCCATACACGTTTCAGGAGTCCGATGGCCGCTAAGACAAGAAGTCGGTGACTCGATGCAGAGGAGTGTCATTAACAGAAGATGAATGAATTTTCTAGTTTTACTGTCTGGCATTTTGATTTCTGAACATGTACCAGTCCAACAATCAAATCAAGAGCATTCCAGAATACACTCATATGGTTGTTATAGAAGAGCTGTGCCAAGGCACAATAACACAGCTTTGGGGTAGATGCGTGTGGTCACATGATCAGGGTGAGACATCAGCAAGAGTCGAGATACACAACCTATACCTCACATACTCACCCTCGGTCGTCCTGGTTATATAACTGTAAAGTGGTGCTCACCCTTTACTCATCTAGGAGGCATCCAGTGAATTGTTAACCACAGAGAAGCCACACGCTGGCTCTTTAGTAGCTGGGTGGGTGCCACTAGCAAACCCAGCTGTTGTATATTTGTCCTTTCTGTTATGAGGCGATGCCATCAGCTGTCTAGACGCAATTGATCGCATGCTCTCCTCGGCATTGTCAAGACCATATCGAAGCTTGTCACGATTCCCGAGAACCGATGTCGGAGCCGGAGCCGAGCCGAGCTGCAGGCCGGCGTTCGGGAAACAACAACAGCAAAGAACAGCATATGTGTCTGGGCAGTGGGTTTTCTGTTACGAAGATCTGCCAAGCCATCAGGTATGAGAGTTTCCGTATTTGTCTGCGAGGCGGAATCTGCTGAAGGGGCGGCGATCTGGGGCCCGGTTTTATGACGTGGGGGTGTTGGGGATGCTTGGCTAGATGGGCTTGTAATGGAGCGCGGGGGGGATACTTAGGTAAGATATTATGGATAAGGTCAGATAGACTACTCTGTAGAATGCTTGCTTTGCTCCGTCATATGTACTTCAGAAACTTGTCTATACTGCATAATGCCAAGCTTCCCGGTTGCACCAGCGACCAGCGACCAATGACGTCAGAGTGTGGCCCTGATGTATGCATGAGGCTATTGAGGTCACCTCAACTACACACCATCATGGTATGTCCGAGTCTGTTGTTGTTATGCATATCTGAACACCTACTCTAGTTTAAACCCTTAAAGAGATGCTGGTATCACATTCCTCCCACCATGACAAATAACCAGCATACCTCTTGTTACTCATCAGGATGAGGCTGCCACGTGGAGATCAACACAATTGAGTCATTCTGACGTCCAGGCCCCTGTTTCCTACCTGTCTGAAGTTGCATCCAGGAAACTGCAACAGTGAGGTCATTTGCTAACATGTTGTTGGACACCCAGACTACTCCTCTGGTATATCCAGGGGCGAAAAGGCACATACATCTATGGATTGAGGCTGGAACTCCTCTGTCATAGTCATAGTTCACAGAGGGATGGATCCACAGGCGACCAAGAAGGGGTCGAATGTCGAACCTGGAGAATGATAGACATAAGCCGTACACGAGAGATAAATCGCCTTCAGTCTAGCCACACCCGCAGTGAGCACAGGCCATGAGGTCGGCCGGAGGCGAAATGAACTGCCAATAGAGTAGTATCCAGAATGTATCCAAGAAATCCACAGACAGAATGATATAAGCGGCGGCATGACACTATAACAATGAAGAATTATCATGACGCGGGGATTACCATCAGAAGTACCCTTTATCTCAAGTAGGACCAGGAGGATTGAGTACACTTGAATTAGGTGTGATATCACGAAACATGGCAGACACATCCAAATCCTGTAGAAAGTAGAGACGCTGACTGACAGCGGCATGATGGCATCCAGCTCATCATTGGCAGGAAGAGACAGCCAGGATCAGCAAGAGGGGCCGCGCCATGGATATGATGCTGCAAGCAGATCGCTACCTTGTTTCGATTGGCGCAGATTACGAATGCCAAGTACTGCTATCTATACAGACTAAGGTACCCTTGTGGCGTAACGAGGTCGATGCGTTCTGAGGACATGTACGTCGAGCTTCGCGAGCTAAGCTATAAGACAGACAGAACTCGCAGTTTAGCTTCGAGGTTATTCAATTACTTCTTCTCAAGACAACATCTCTAACAGCGACAGCGACAGCGACAGCACACAAAATGGTCCCTCTTCATCCATCACCTCAGCCGGCAGCATCTGCCAACCAGCTGCCTACCCTGCACTCGGCCGTCGCCGACAGACGATCCGCCTCCTACACTTCACCAGCCAACGACGACGACTCCCCTCCACCCAAATACGTCTCCCCGGGCAGTAATATCGACATCCAGATCCGCGAGTACCACAACAGCATCAAGGCCACCCTGACGGCGCTGCTGAATGATCAACGAGTAAGAAAAAACCCAGACGGCAACAAATGCGTCCAGTCCTTCCTTCTTGAAGCGGAGAGGAACTTACGAAAGGAGAAGAGAAAATCGATCGGCTCGCGTCCGCCTGATGAGAAGCTATAGCGTCTTACGTTGTCGGGGAAGACATATTGAGATGGGGATGAGTGAATTGCTGGACGATGGGGATTGATGTCGTCTGATTTGTTGATTTGCACAATCTGCAATAGTTTGGAGTTCATGGCGCTATGGTCGACACGAACATGATGATGTGACTTCACCATCATAGAGGCTGGCTTTTCTGACGTATCTTGGCTACGTTCCTAGGAGTAGTTGCAAGTATTGTAAGATGATGTAAGCTTGATACAAGGGGAGTACGACAAATGACGAGACATGTCAGTCCCTGTCATAGGAGGACAATACAAGCCCACAATGTATATGAATAGCATCAAGTTTCGGCAGGTATGTAGCAGCCACTGCCCATACTACATGCTACTCTGCTTACAGATGGAGAGTTGCATTTGAACCTCAGTCAGCTCGTCTCCAGTAGTATATCCTGGCGACGTAGTCATGCAGGCAGCCCAATTGGCAACATGAGATGATGTCTTCGCCATTTCTAATCCTAGTATGTATCGTCAGAGCTGCTTTTCTCCTCCCCATTATCAATCCTGAAGCGGGGGGTCACCGATCGCGGTCATTCTGGCAATAATGGCCACCGATTGTGGAGAGACGTCGCCTCCGGTGCCCATTGTGCTTAGGAGCCCATGAAAAGGCTGATCGCTTGTCATTGCCCTAATAGTGCATACCTATTGCATCCCCGCTCTTCGGCCAAAAGGCATGACGATCCCCAGCCAAACCACTGTAGACTGTATCATGACATGATGTCTCATTGATAATTGCGCACGGTTCTACTCCAAGGTACTTTTGATACAGTGGATCTATCTCTATGTGAGCTTCTGTGGGCCTAATCATTTGCAGGAAGCAAGCGTACCTCTGATTCCCCTCTATGCCTCACTCTTCCTTTGGCTCTGACCCGCAGAACGATGACGTAGCAGGACCTTTTCACGACATGCTCCTCCCCGGTCTCAAATGTAACAGGGTTGACAAGTAGTCAATCAGGGTCCACCGTGCTCCGGGGCTACCATGCGGAGATGTATATGGATATTGCAGTGGCAATGGACACAAAAGATGACGAAATGGGTATTCGAGGATGCGCTTGGCAATGCTCGCTTCATTTTATTTCGAATTGGCCTTTTTGAAGCCACGGGCTATTAGAGTACTCGAGAGACGTAGTTCATCATAGCTGTAAGACCGTCCAGTATTGGGGTGTCCAGGATTGAGAGATGTTGAGGGTTCGTAAGATTTATGTCCTACCTCCCTTTTCATTAAAGTCAGCACAGAGCAATGAGACTATTCTTAGCGTAGCATCGGGGGTACACCCGCAAAGTGTAGAAGTTGTCATCCGCACGAAAGCTCCAGACTGTTAACAGTTTCTGACAGTCAGAGGCGTGCACTCCTGTTGACCGTTGACAAATCATAACAGGCCTATTTAAGGCAGAAATATCCATATATTAGACTTTTATTTTCCAGATGTTCTGTATTAATATTCTAACTCGTCAGCTTAGGGCATCCTTAGGGTGTGATCTTAAATCAATAGCCCCTTAAAGCAATAGATACTTATTGGCAGTTGAAGGGATAGTCACAGTTTTCATGATATAATACACTATCTACTTAGCGCAAGTACACATACCTGCTGGCTTTCTACTTTTGTTTTATCTAGATAGCAACAGATTTTCAGGCCTCAGTAACTCTGTAATCATCAGGCTCGCTTAACAGCGGCCTGACCAGATTTTATACTAGCAGATGAGGCCATCTTCGTGCGAGACAGAGGTAGCCGGGCCAATCAGACTGGGAAGGGATGGTTAGAAAGGTCAAAATGATTGCACCCAAATGTGTAAGTGGCATTTTATTTCAACATTTTAACACCGGAGTTGAGGTATTAACTAGGTAAGACATCCTATACCTCAGCAGGATCAGCGATCAATTGAGGGATATAAGCGAATATCAATTCAACTGTGACCAAGTATCTAATCTTTATGGGGATATCAGAACCACAGCAACCTTTCTCCGACACACGCTGAGCTGCGAGCCCCTAGCCACTGCCTTGCTATACAAGCGTGAAGATGGGACCCTCGAGGCACGCTGCTTAATAGGTTCTGCTATCCTTAGCGGTTGTTTCTGTAGAAAGTGAGTCCGTTCGTTCGTAGCTTCCCTAAATTACCCTATCTAACCCCCCAATTAGAAATGTGGCCGGCCAAAACTTAGTTGGCAACTTCGCGCTCGGCCACGGAGAGTCGTAGGACAGACAGAGGTAAACAGGTGGTCAGGCGTACTGGGCGAAGTGCTGGGTCAAGTTGGATAGAGGTACTGGAGGAAGGTCTGACGGCTGGAGTCAAGTTCTCGAACCTACAGGTTCTGGCTATAATTCGCTACGCAACTCTTGGTTCAAACGTGGCGGCGTCTACTCCTATGAATGATGGCTAAGTCAACTAATAGCAAGTGCTGGTACTACAAAGTATCTTGCGTATGTCTGGATTGTTAAGGAAAGGAAGCTATATAGGATTTCTAAGAGTACTTGAGGCTAGACCTGAATATGAGTATTGTTTCGCAAATATCGATAAATTGATAGTATTTAGAGTAGCATTCGGTAGAGTCCAGGCGAGTGGCGAGTCCAAGATAACCTATCTTTTCTAGTCATTAAATAGGTATTTTCTATCTCCTTAGTATCATAGGAGTAGTAGCTAGGCTCCCTATTCCTACTCTGGAGGTGGGGGAGATTGGGGTAGAGGTTTATAAGGGTAAGGTAGTTTAAATATCAGTAAAAAGGTTAACCACACCCAAACCGCATGGATGTTAGACGGCTGGTGAATCAACCCATATCCAATCCACGACCAGTCTGGTTCAGTATGTCTGCCGATATGTCCTTCCACGTACCCTAATCAATCATATCTTATGGAGAGTGGAATATACAGAACTGATCCTTGTCAAAAACCAAGTCGTTTGACTCCAGCCCCCAACAGGAGTTCTTCTATATCCATATGCCCCTTTGAACTGGCCAGATCAAGAGCGGTTCTTCCATTATGGTTCTTTACACGATGATCTGCTCCTGCCCTCAGCAAGGCTCGCACAACTTCAATATGATTCTCATTCGTGGCGACATGCAGCGGAGACCATCCGTCATCTTGCGCCGTGTTCGGGTCTGCTCCTGAGGCAAGCAGGAACTGGGCGATCGTCGCCCGGCCATTGCTCGCAGCAATATTCAGCGGCGTCCATCCAGTTATCGACTTGGCAGAGATGTCAAGTCCCTGTGCAAGGAGAAGCTTAACCACTTCAAGTTGGTCTTTTTCCACTGCGCCATGCAACGCCGTCCACCCGTTGATGTTCGTGGCATTCTTGTCGGCACCGCGTGCTAGAAGAGCCTTTACCGTCTCGGGATAGCCCTCTCGCGCTGCGATTCCTAGGGAAGTCCATCCGCTGTCATTGCGTGTCTCGATATCCGTCTTTCTATCCAGCAGGGCTTCTACCACGGCCGTGTGTCCATTTCCAGCAGCGGCGGTTAGCGGACTCCAGCCGTCATCATTGCGGCTATCGACAGCCGCGCCGTGCCTTAGCAGCAATTTAACTACCTCCAGATGGCCATTGCAAGCCGCTGAATTGAGAGGGCTCCAACCATCCGAGTTCCGGGTTGCGGAATTAGCCCCACAGGCGAGGAGAGATTGAACTACTTGAAGGTGTCCCCTCGCGGACGCAGCATGCAAGGGCGTCCATTTGTCCTTGTTCGTCACGTTGACACTCGCGCCAGCTTCGAGGAGGAGGTCAACAACAGCGTGATGGCCGTGCAGTGCCGCTGAATAGAGTGGAGTGTGGCCACGCGAGTCTGCAACGGTGTGATCTGCTCCGTGCTTGATCAGCGCAACTGCGATCGCAAGATGGCCTTCGCCTGCAGCGCTGTTCAACGGCGTCCAGCCCGTTGAATCAGGGATTGTGACATCTGCGCCTTTGGCAAGGAGCAGTTCAACAACTGCTAGATGGCCCTCGGATGCTGCCGCGTTGAGGGGGGTCCATTTATTCGCCGATGCCCGGGAGGTGTCCGCGCCGTGGTCCAGAAGAATGCGGACCACATCAGTGTAGCCGTCCTTTGCAGCATAATACAACGCCGTGGCGCCGACTTCACCAACGCTAGCGTTGACATCCGCGCCGTGCTTCAGGAGAGTCTTGGCAATCTCTGTGTGGCCTTCAGAGGCGGCTGATGCCAGTGGTGTCAATCCACTGGTAGTAGGTATGCTCATGTCCGCCCCTTGGTCGAGCAAGTATTTTACAATGTGAAGATGACCACTATGAGCCGCCACGTTCAGCGGAGTCCACTGTTTTGGATGTGTCGTGTCTGATATGTTCACTCCATTTTCGACAAGCACCTTTACCGAGCCTAGTTGACCCAGCTTCGCGGCGGAGTAGATTGGGCTCTGTCCGTCCACAGATGGGACGTTTGGGTCTGCTCCGTGGTGCAAGAGAGCAAGCACTGCGTCGGGATGACCAAATGTGGCGGCTGCGTTGAGCGGGGTGAAGCCGTCCTCGTTGCCAGAGGTGTAGTCTGCACCGTGCTCGATGAGGTACTCTAAAATTTCCGTGTTTCCTGAGACAGCAGCCGAGTATGCAGGCGATTGGCCGATCTCACCGGTGGCAAGAATGTCCTCGCCAGCCGCTACCAGCCTTTTGATTTCTTCAAAATCTCCCTCGCGGGCTGCCACGTTGAACGGAGATGGCCAGGGGCCGTCGTCTTCGGACTCAGCCCCGTCTTCAGATGCCATGGCCTGTGCATACGAAGGTGGGGGAGCGGAATCATGGCCATCTTCGTGATTCACGGCAGGTGCCGATGGTGCCATGGACACAAACGTATGAAATGACTTTGCGGAACTGATTAGACCCTCCATGGCGACAATCATATCCTGTCTTTCAGCTGTCTCCCCGCTAGACACGAACGACAGCTTCTTCATAGACTGTACTGCCGCCTCAAGCTCCTTGATCTCAATGTCCAAGACAACGAGCGACGATTGCTTTTCTTGGGCCGGTGCATTTTGTTGTAACCGCACACACCTCAGATGAAATCAGCACCCATACCAACCATATTTGCCTCCATTGCCATGAAAACAAGACCTACATGTTCATCATAGTGGCGCCAACTTTCAGGGCCTTACGGTGTGGTTCCAGCCGGCCACGATACGCAATGATTGCGCAGCTATGCAAGCCCAATATCCACGCCTTGGCGTAAACCTTGAACAGCGAGCGCTTCTTCTGCCCGCTCTTGACAATAGGCTCCAGCTCTTGCCTTAGCCGCTGGAGCGTGACTCGGATGTTGTCCAGATTAGTCTGCACGCAAGTCCACATCCCGAAACTGGCAGATGGGTGCGTCATCAGGGTGGAGGAATGGGTCCTCCAGGTGGAAAGGATCTCATCCAGGACGTGGCAGATACGGTTCAGGTCATGGCCTGTGTTTGAGATTGTCATGTCGCCATCTGGGACGTTATCACGCAGAATTCCTGACGTGAATGAGATGATCTAGCGCGTATTAGTCTGTAGTCGTGAAGATGCAGCTCGATATAGTACCTCGTGGCAGGATGCTTTCAGGGCAGTCGAGCTGCCCGCGATCGATAACGGATCCATATCTCAGTCCTCTGTTAATTTTGCTTTCTCAAGGACGAATGTCCCTCCCTTATCAACCTCGCACAGAGGCTCTCAGGAGACGAAATCGAGCGAAGAGGGGGGTCTCGTATCCCAACTTGGCACCACGTGACCGGTCCAAGACCAGACGTCGATCCTTCCCGTATAGAAGTACATATGATTGGGTTGTCCACGTTGCGGATGTGGTCACAGTCATAGGGCTCTTTGAGGCTCTAGTTCTCGGTCGTTGGGGAATCTCATTTGCTGTACGGAGAATCGTCGGTTGGCAGACTCCGGGAAATCTATATATAGCGGCAAAGTTGCTATTATCGTCAAAGCATCTTTGACATTGTCCAGCTACTGACGGATGGCAACGGCACAGATATATAAATATAGAATAAGCAGGTTCAACAGTTTACTAAATTTATATACTGATGTCACTTTACCTCATTTAAAGAGTGACTTAATAAAAGGTAGGCGCCTTTCGTGTCCCTGGACCTGGCTTTCCCTTGGTACATCTGTTGCTTTTCCCCATTGAAGTATGTAGTCTACCACTGTTAGCGGAGTTCAATGGATTATGAAAAGCATATGGACTCCAGCGGGAATACAATGAAAAGAATTGGACATGTGCAAAATTATCACAAGGAGCGACACAAAGTAAAGTCTATATAATGAAGATTACACCCCCAAACGAGAACGATGCACTTCAAACAAACCTGTTCCATATCCTTCAGATAACTACTGGTTACAGCATGACCATGCCGACTGCAGTCAGAAGCGCAGTAATGGCATACACACCCAACTCGAACGAGCCAACAGTCACCGCAGTGCCGCGCGTAAGAGCAACAGCCGCACCAGACGAGCTAGTCGAAGACGCAGACGAGCCGGACGAGTCAGCGGTACCGGTAGGCTTGGAGGTGACGGTGCCAGTGCCCGCGGTGCCGGCCTCCTTCATGAGAGAGCTGCAGGCACCGGTCGCCTTGGTAGCCGAAGTGACGGTGGCCGAGCCGCCGAAGCTGCACGCGGAGGACGCAGAGCTCTGTTCGGAGTAGTACTTGTTGAGCAGAAAGTTGAGCTGCTGCTTGGGGGTGCACATGCCGTAGGCGCCGTAGCTGCCTGTGGTGGCGTTGCGAGCGATGCCGGTGCAGTCGGTGTAGCCGCAGACAAGACTGAAAAGGTCGCTGTAGTCGTCGCTGCTGACGGAGTCCTTGACGACGCATGAGGCGGCGTTGCTCATGCAGGTGCAGAGCTGCTCGTTGGGGGTCGGGGGCAGGGGGCTGGCGCTGGCGAGCCACTTGCTGTTGACGGTCGGGCAGCTTTGCAGGGCCGTGTTGGTGGGGGTGTAGGAGGCCTTGTTGGTGCCGGAGGGGTTGGCGTTGTTGTTGATCTGGCTGGAGTAGTACTTGAAGTCGGCCATGGTGCTGACGCTGGTGCTGTCGACGGCGGAGACGAGACCTGGACGGATCAGTTACAGCCAGAAGTCTGGATCGAAAGACTTACCGTAGTTGTTGTCCTCCTGGAAATACATGTACACGATACCACCCGACCAAACATCGTTCATCTTGTCTCCAAACAAGGCCTCGATTTCGGTGAATTTGCGGGGAGTGACCTCGTTGCAACCATACTCGGCGAAGAAGACAGGCACGGAGTAGTTCCGGAACTCTTCGGTGCGGACGCTGTACCCGGACTCGGTGTAGGAGGAATCGCCGCACCAGGAGTAGATGTTGTATCCCCAGAAGTCGATAGACTCGTCACTTGCCTCGCAGTTGAAGTAGTCGGCCATGTTGACGCGGATGGTGGAGTCATCGTTGGTCGCGTAGCCGACTCCCATCGAGCGGTATCCCTTCTCCTTAATGTACGCCTTCATGTCCCGCACCGCTGCCTTGACGAAGGCACTGGCATCGGTGGTACCGACGGTGTTGGAAACTTCATTGCCCGCAAAGAAGCCGAGGGTGTTGTTGTACGGTGCCAGGGCGTCGATCACACTCGTGTAGCGGTCGTAGAGCGTGGTCTCCCAGGAGGGATCACTGCGGTCAATCGCCTCCGAGGGGTCAGAGAGATCGGAGATGACATAGATGCCAGCATCGGCCAACATCTGCATGCACTCCGTGTGGTTGGCGGTGGGATCGATGGCGTAGACACGAATGGTGTTGGTGTTTAGCTCCTGGAAGATGGGAATATCACGCTTGCATAGCGTGGCGTCCGACAAGGGGTCGATGTAAGTGCTGCTGCCATCAGTGGTACCATTGCTCGAGTAGTCCTCTGTTGGCGTTAGTTTCATGTGAGGCATCTAGATGATGATCACATACGTTGGTAGGCAATACCACGAATATAGCTGAAAGACTTAGCACGAGTCCAGAAAATAAAGGGAAAAGTCCTTACAATTGAGTGTTGTTGCTGGAGTAGAAGAACTTGGATCCCTTCGGACGGTTAGACTTATTCCTCAAGAGAATAGGAGAGAAAAACCTTGATGATGATAGGGTCAATGTCAGCCAGAGCAGTGCCCAAGAGGCCAGCTCCAAGGAGAGCGTGGGAGAACTTCATGGTGTCGAAACCTCTCCTCTCGAGCGAATTGAAACAGACGTAGATATCAAAGAATCAAGTACTGAGTAACGAATGACAAGAAAGTGCAGTAGAAAAGGAAACGAGTGACAAAGCACAGAATATGTCCAGTAGGCCGACGAAACTGGGAAACAGACAGCTATAACAACACCCAGGGGATTGCATCGAGACGCCCATCGTGAGCTATCCTTCCGCAGACGTATTATTATTATTAGCAGCCGGCCTCATCAAGGGGGCGTACTCTTCAACCCGTCGAGTCGGCCGACTTGTTTCTGCTTCAGCGATGCCATCAACGGCCCCGCTTTGGGCAATGAACGCGTCAACACTGCAGTAAGCCACTGCTGGTCCGGTCGTCAAGCGATGCGCCGGCAAAATGAAAAACGACGACACAACTGTCGGGGCTCCATCCATCGTCCAGTATTGGTTCGTAAATCCGAGCTAGAGATTAGAGTTGACCGAGATAATGCCACTATTGTGATGGTGGCGGGTCATGGACTCATGGACTGACTGATGGAGCTGTGGCTACCATTATTAGCGGATGCACGATTCAAGAGTAGGGATATCATAAAGAATCCAAATTTTACTCACTCTGAATTGTCCTCCATCATCTTGCCTATTATTCGAGCGAATTTTGAGCAAGCGTTGATTCTTATCGAGAGTCGAGATGGGCGTGGTGAGTGTTCCAAGGGCAAACTTGTGGGTTTGTTCCGTCGGACGACGTTATCCCCGAACGAGAATCATCCACCGTCGGTCTTACGGTGGAGCACACTACGACACACTCTCTGCAAACTAGAAGAGTTCATTAATATTAGACTGGGCCGGACATACGCCGTCGAGCTCAAGCTTTGTGGGTGTGCAACCGTTTGATGGTAGCCTATTTCGATTCAGTGTTCTAGTCCAAAGCAAGCTTGATCGACATTAACTACTGTTAGTTTCTGGTAGCTTTGGGAATAGTGGCTTTGAATGGATCCGATACAGTGTATATGCTGTATTATCGTGTTTGATCGGAAACATAATTGATGTTCCTGTGGTTGAATCGAGTGTCACTGTTGATTTCATGATATGGACAAGCTGTAGAGTCCAAGTCTTGTAATGTACAATCTCGCTAGAAACAATTCATCGCACGTGTCCGTCCTGCATAATTCATGTCGCAATATACCAATCCTAAACACCAGAGGCACCGCCATATATCCAATATCAATCCCAATTCCAATATATCACATAATTTACATTTCTCGACGGCGGGCCTCGATGGCGGCTTCGAACGATCGGATGGTATCTAGCGGTCGCTCGAGACGGGGCCTTGTGGGATTGGACCGGTCGGGATCAGCTGTAATCGTTAGTATTGATAATTGGCATTCGATGAAGCCAGGAAAGACGAACTGATGACATTTCCATCTTTGTCACGGTGCTGCATCGATCGCAGCGAGAACATTGGAGTCCCTGATACCGCTTGATTGACTTTTTCGGAGCGTTAGTATATATATATATATATATACAGCAAACAGATACGAGGTAACGAACTTGGTTGAGCTTCAGTCAAGGCCTGGTTGGGATCAGCTTTGCTAGACAGAGTAGCCTTCTTGTAGCTCTCGCGGGAGCTGATAGATCCGTTGCGGTCGCTGGACGAGCGTGAGGAACGAGAGAATCCCATATTGAGTATGAAGTAATAGACTGGACACCGTTTCACGAGTGACTTGAGATATAGATAATAAAAGATAGTATTATTGATACTTTGATGAAATGTGGAGATGAAATGACAATTAGAGGTGTCAAATTGATGGCACTACTGAGTTCTAAATTGCTAAAGTATGTGTCGGTGCTGAGGGCCTCAGGAACCCGGCGAGCGGGCGCAGTATAAATGCCAGGGCCCGACTGCCTCAGGTACCAGGTACCGAATATTTTTAGAAGCGGAATGGCCTGTGACGCTTCTTGCACCACAGATGTGAATAATGATTTGCTCATTTCTTAGCAACCGCTGACATGTGCCTCGATCCCCGGTACTGGCCATGACGTTGTCTGGTCCGAGGATGGGAAACTGTTTCACTTGGTCTGGAATGTGAAAAATGTGAATGGTCCCAATCAGGCCAAGCTTTGACTAATGAAGACACAATCGAAGATGGACATGGTTATGCAGCCAATCACATGACACAGATGCCAGAAACAGTAAAATGGGCCACGTAAGCAGAGGGGGCTGAGGCAGTGGCAAACTGCAGGGACACCCGGAGACCACCGGCCAGACTCTGATCCCACGGTAGGCATCAGCATTAGGATTCGTCTCCTTCCTGTTCCTGACAAGATCTAATACAGATCTAGACAGGGGAACTGAACTAAATAGGAGAAGACGACAGATTGTGTTGTTCTTGGCCCATGTATCAGTCTGAAAGTTCCACGCGTGGTTGTTCTCTGACAGACCATGTGATCTAGTTCTTTCGGCATCGCCGGATGCTGTCAAGAAGGCTGACTCTTAAGAGCACGTGATTTTCCGATCCTGTACATCTGGGAAGTTCATCCATGACCTGATGCAGCTATGAAGCAGACATGATCCATCGTCAAAGTCGGGTCAGTTGCAAAGCTGATGCTGCTGTACAGACGGGCTATCAAAGGATCATCATGATGGCTTCTAAGATGACACTTATTGCATCTCTTATTGGATATACTGCACGATTACCTTTTGTAGCTGATGGATGGAGGGTAGCTGATTTGTATAGAGTGAGACTTCAGAGATCCATGGTATGATTCATTGCCATCAAGTCTATGACGGGATTCTACGTAACCAAGTACAAACCAGTCACGAAGGATTTCCTCCTGCGATCCTGCGATTCAACCGTGAATCAAGCATCTACCCGAGTGATCAAGATTAAACTGATACAATGGTGCTCACTAGCCTTTGCGTGTGGCGCAGGTCACGAAAATCGGCGATGGACCCCGTCTCCATGGCGGTAGAGAAATAGGAGAAGAATCTGCAGAAAGCCAAGCGCCCCCAGGACTACCTACCTTTCCTGCTGTCCATCTCGAATTTGTCGAGAAAGCTAGAATCCTGTACAATGTAGCGACTCGGAACGGTCTGCCGGATCATCTCTTCCAGCACCCCGATGACGCCAAGAAGATAGCATCTCAGCTTCAGCGTGCTGGACAGTCTGACCTCACTCGTCTTCTATGGTATTTTCTATACCACTAGAAGGAGCATAGTGACAATCTCATGAAGTGGTGCTCGAATATGATTATGGCTGACGTTATCGGCCGATATGTCGTCCAGACGGAAGTCCATGAGAGGGAAATGCTGCGCTCCAAACGGAAGGAGCTCCAGCTGTGTACCTCGCCCGAGGAGCGCGCAAAATTGAATCGGTGATACGCAGGACAAAACGTACCCTTGAGAATACAAACGATATCTACCGTAGATTGTACCGCACGTTGTGGGAGCTACAGGAACACATGCCCTCGGAACCCCTGCGCCGAGCCTTTTTGGCCTGGAGATCAAATCCAGATTGGTACTTATGCGACTGGCTCCGGCGTGAATGTGCCAGCCCTGAGGCTGCTGCGGGAGGAGCTGTGGTTGTTGCGAGAAGCCGCGCGACACGGGCCGGCTGCTGAACCGCGGCCACTGTACTCTGGCGTGTTCATGATACATTCAAGCGAATGGGAAAACGGAAGCAGATGACCCTGTCGGCGACAACTGGGGAATTATGTTGAGGATAAAACAGAAATAGTTCCCGCCGTCGGGGAAGAATTCAACAACTTGCAAGCTATCTTCGAAGAGAAACATAATCTGTATGCTCGCCGATTGTGCCGGGCATATATCTGGGGTATCGATGTTCTCAATAAGATTGAAGACGAGGAAGATTTCAGCTGGGAGGCTTTGGCAAGTAAAACAGAGGCGGAAAAGTCGGAAAAGAAACCGAAGCTGTGGTGACCCTGGCTGCTTGAGATCCTAAAAGGCTTCTTCTGCTTTGCTACTCGCTCCTTAGCTTTCTCATTTGTGCTGGATTATTCTGGAATTATTGAGTGATTAAACGCTCTTTTGCTCCGGCGTGATAGCTGCCTCATGCATTTGTCGTCCTCTTTCTCGTAATTCTAACCGCGGGAATGACCGAGTGCCCTGTCATAACGATTCCTGAATATCTACTTCTTCACTCAGAACTGTGGAAGAAAAAAGAGACCCTGAGTGTCAAATTAACTTGATGATCGGCGTTTATATACCTGTCGAGACTACCTTTCCCGCAGAGTAAAACTGCCTGATTTGATCAATCACAAATCGAGCATCGTCCAAAGTCATAACATAGTAGATCGGCAGGCGAACGAGGCGCTCACTCTCCCTAGTCACCGCATCTCTATCCATAACATGCCTGTGATACATACCAGGCCCTATCTTATGAAGAGGACCATAGTGAGGTAACACACTAATCCCAATCCCCTTCATCGATTCCATGAACTCCCGTCGTTCCGCCATATCCCGGACTTTAATCCAGAACATCCGAGCGTTATGCTCCCGATCCGGCGGCAAAGCCGGCAACTGGATAATCCCCTGTGCGTCCAACCCCTCCAACTCCTTCCAATAGAGATTCCAGATTCGATGGCGCTGTATCTGAATCCCCTCTGCGCCCTCCAGCTGGGCCCATAGATACGCAGCCTGCAGCTCACTAATCGCATAACTTCCCCCGACCATCTGCCACGTATCCACACGTTCATCCGTACTCCGAAACGCCACGTCGTGGTTCATGCCTTTATTCCAGCTTATCTCCGCGCGCTCGACAAGCGCCGGATCATTAACGAGGAGAGCACCGCCCTGACCCCCAGCCGTGATATTCCCCCCCTCCTGGAAGCTAATACACCCCAAATGCCCCATCGCCCCGGCCGCATGGTCTCGGTACGTAGAGAAGAGTCCCAGCGCCGCGTCCTCGACGACGTATATCCTGCGTTCGCGCGCAATCTCCAGAATCTCGTCCATGCCACATGCGAAACCGGCGTAGCAGACTGGAACAATCGCGCGCGTGCAATCTGTTACCGCCTCGCGGACTTGTGTCGGGTTGATAGTCATGGTCTCTGGGATGATATCAACAAAGACCAACGAGGCACCCCGGAGGAGGAATGCGTTTGCGGTTGATGGGTGAGTGTAGCTTGGTAGGATGACTTCGTCGCCGGGTTTGAGGTCGAGAATTAGTGCAGCGAGGTCGAGGGCGGCGGTGCAGGAGGGTGTTAGGAGGACCTTTTCGCAGGAGAGGCGTTGTTGTAGCCAGGATTGGCACTGACGGGTGTATCGGCCGTTGGTGAGGGTGCCGTTCTTGATGGCGGTGTTGATGTACTCTATTTCGGGGCCGCTGACGGCGGGGATGTTGAAGGGAATGAGCTTCTGATGCTTTGGGGGGCTGAAAATGGACATGCTGATTGTTGCCTCGTGTTGTGACCAGATGGAGAATGTTCGTTCTTAAGCAGAAATGATGTCAATTGAACATAGCTGGAGTGGTATGGTGCAGGCAATCCATGGTTGGCCAGAGCTTAACAATCATAAGGTGCGATGTTCCACATCGCTTTGGATTCTTCCTGTCTGATCCCCTGGCAGCTAAAACCGAGACTCTGAGCAGTCCGCAACTGCGAACCTTCTGCAGAGATTGCTTGGGTCTCGTCGGTGGGACCTCAATATTGGAAGACCAACCATGACGAACAGGCTCCTGATCGTCTCATTGCCGAGGTGGAAAGTTCTGGGTATGTTGTCGCTGATATTCATATTGCGAGGCTTAATGCGAGCGACAATCCCTTATATCTTAGGCTCGACAACAGGACAACACTTTCTTTCGTCTCGGTTCATCATAAAGGGAGCTATTCTCTTGTTCATGTAGGACGATGAAGTTCCTTTCAATTGGGTTGTCAGGAAATTCATACACTGGAGCCAGTAAGAGAAAAACTCGGCCTTCGAAACGAGTCCCACTGTGGTAAATTCCTGAGCAATAGATACATTATCATTCTATTGGGATGGGGTTAAGTCAATGATAGGAAAATATCTGTCGAATACCCACAGCGCTGGTGGAATGTCTGTTGAGTAGGGTGGTATGCTTTTCCTGGTTCGAGAAATATATATTTGTGATTTTCAGCTTCAGTACCGGGAAACTCAACGAGCGTTGTCGAATCGGATCAGAATCTACCAGTTGATGTCATTTGATATTGGCGAAGCTATTGACTAACCTGCAGGACTTTTTCACTGAAAGACGCGACTGTTCTATTCTCAACCTTACCCCCTAACTATCCGCGCATCTACGAGTCGCCCACAAAGGGATCGAAGTCAAACAAGTAACGGAATACCTCGGATACCGATGTACAGCAAGATGAACATCTAGGACAATGCGGTGCGAGAATGGCCAAGGTGTGGGAAAAATAATTCGGGTCTTGAATTCACGGTGCGCGGCAATGTATTACGAGGAATTCCCGGTCCAGCATTGCCGTCGTGACCGCACCTATGGTGTACCATACATGCAAATCCCCTGACAGCTGGATTGACGCCGAGGATCGGACGACAAGAGGAGACCGTCGTCGAATGCCAAGATCACAGGAGGCGCATACATGCCGTAAAGCCGGGAATTGGCTCGATCTCACCGAATGCAGCGCCGGCCGGACGAGAAGGCTCCGACCACGTCTCGAGTCGCAGTACCAGACTTGAAGCCTTTAGCACAGGATTCTACACCGGCACCCATGTAACTGGTGGTATACATCATAAAGGCATTGGCTTTTGCCATGACTGACACGACTTAGGTCTGTGCACCTCGTTGGCTCATACATCACCCCACGCCTTTCCTCGGCATAGCCATCAATTTGTAATGGGTTTGTAAAAAGCCAGGAACGAGTGGAAACAGGCCGAGCATTCTGGGATCCGAACATTGTGGAGGGGACTAGAGCATGTTTTCGTCCGTCGTCTGCTGGCTTCGGAGTTCTCGCGCTTTGCATCCCGTGCGGCGCCCAGAATCGTCGACGCAGAATACGAGGAGCAAGGCCAGAATCTTGGAACTTTCAACCCCGAAGCGCACAATTGCCGAATAGGTACCCGGAGATGTTAGCGTATGTATCCCGGAAGATTCTAGCATGATGTCTACATTGTACGGATGTGGTGCCATCGGTTATTCTCCGGGGAAACCCTAGTTTAGCTGGGATTGTGGGGGACGCTTGCATGAATAATGCAGACTTGGGACCTCCAAGTTGACCACTACTCGGTTGGGCAACGCTAGACAATGACGGCTAGAGGAAGACGTGGTTAGCACGGTTATCACAATGTGCGGGGAAGTCGAGCGGGATGGACGGACGTCATGAAGCGTATACTCGGCGATTATCGAACTTTTATGAGAGTGGAACGAGTCACGACAATCGTATGGCTCTGTTCGGTGAGATTATTTTAAAAGTCGACTATCTGACGGGGTCGAGAAGGATGTCCAGTGGAAATGCCGCTTCAAGGATGTCAACAGAGCTATTTCACCAGACGGATGATACCGAGATTACTGTGCAATGCGGGACTCGGCGGGGAAGCAAATTCGTATCGGCTGCAGGTGGAGGAAAAGGACTTTCCCTGCAGTCTGCAAGCCGTGCCGACCCCCACATAGTAGGTCGGTGCAAATGTTGCTGGTGGGTAGCCTTCCCCACACGACCACAACATGTCCAAGCTGCAAGAAGCACTAGCGTAGGTTCGCGCCAAGTGAGTGTCGATATTCTTAAGAGCTTTGTCATTCTATCAAGGACGACTGACTCATGCGACACGGGAAGGAGCCGAACTACCGTACCAACAGCCAAGTCCAGGAGCAGAAAGGAGCGACAAGAAATAGCTACCGGGAGATCAAGTCACCGGACGCTATGAGCCTGTGACATAGTTATCCATGGTTGAAGGCTTAAGGGCTTGAAGAACTCGGACTAAACTGAGACTGTCGCTCTTGGCAACTACCATAAGAAGGATGGACCATGAACAATTACTGAGTGAAGAGCCGGAGTTCAGCCGAAGCATGGGCAGGGTATGGGTTCTGCAGCAGCCAATAGCCCCAAGACAACCATACGGGAGGCCCGCCAAGAACGTGGAGCCCCGCTTTTGCTGGGGATGTGGAGACCCCGCATAGTCAACTGTGCCATGTGGCTTGGACTATTGACGAAGGAGTACAGAGACGACGGACATTGAGGCTAACCAAACTATCTTCTTTGCTTCGTCATTGGTCGAATTAGTCACTGGGCCTCCAGCGTGGACGAATACGACCCGAATGCCACGCAAAGTGATAGTAGCTCGACAACATCGGGGTACTCCGTATGGGGACGCTGGTTCAGTCTCGGTATTTGCCCGGTAGAGAAAAGATTGAGATGAGCAGTATGGAGAAATACTACAATCCGAAGCTACCATGCTACGATAGCCGACATAGCCGACCCCTGAGCTTGAATCGCAGCTATATCAAGGTCGTGTATCCTCTGGATTCTTGAGCTGAAGATCACACCTATCGACTCTTCTACCCTGGTCTCCTCGGAACTGAAGATGAAGATTACGGTTCCCCTTCTTGCTGCTGCCCTGCAGCTGGCAGGCATTGCTACCGCACAGGACGATGCTGCCATCGCCGCCAATCTCGAAAAATTCTGGTCGTATGGCCGTTCAGAGCCAGTCTATCCCAGCCGTAAGTGTGACTGAGATTCGAGATGTCCTATATGACTAACAGTACATTGCTCAACAGCTGAAACCCAGGGCTTGGGTGACTGGAAGGAGGCATATGCCAAGGCCAAGGCTCTTGTAGCTCGAATGACCGACGAGCAGAAGAACAACCTCACTTACGGATACAAGTCAACCACCAATGGCTGTTCCGGTAACTCGGGAGGTGCTCCTAGTGTTGGATTTCCTGGACTATGCCTGCAGGATGCTGGCAACGGTGTCCGCGGTACTGACATGGTGAACGGATACGCCTCCGGTGTCCATGTAGGAGCTGCATGGAACCGCGATCTTGCCTACGAACGTGCACACTACATGGGTGCGGAATTCAAGCGCAAGGGTGTCAACGTCGCTCTGGGTCCGGTGGTTGGACCGCTTGGCCGGACAGCGCGTGGCGGCCGTAACTGGGAAGGCTTTTCCAACGACCCGTACTTGGCCGGTTCCCTGACCGGAGAGACTATCCGTGGTCTACAGGAGTCAGTCATTGCCTGTGTCAAGCACTTTATCGGCAATGAGCAAGAGACCAACCGTAACCCTCCGATGCTTTTGGAGGGCTACCACAACCAATCCGTCTCGTCGAACCTGGACGACAAGACCATGCATGAGCTCTACCTCTGGCCCTTCCAGGACGCGATCAAGGCCGGTGCGGGATCCGTCATGTGCAGCTACAACCGGATCAACAACAGCTACGGGTGCCAGAACAGCAAGACACTCAATGGCCTGCTCAAGGGGGAGTTGGGCTTCCAGGGTTTCGTCGTCACTGACTGGGATGCCCAACACTCGGGAGTCGCCGCTGCCGACGCAGGTCTGGACATGGCAATGCCTGACTCCGTCTACTGGGAGAACGGCACCCTCGCTTTGGCCGTGAGAAATGGCTCGTTGGCCCAGACTCGTCTGGACGACATGGCGACTCGGATCCTCGCTTCTTGGTACAAGTATGCTGAGATCGAGCAGCCAGGACACGGAATGCCTGTTGATCTCCGGAAACCACATGAGTTAACCGACGCTCGCGATCCCAAGTCGCGGTCCACCATCTTCCAGAGTGCCGTGGAAGGTCACGTCCTGGTGAAGAACACCAACAATGCTCTGCCACTTGACAAGCCCAAGTTCCTCTCTCTCTTCGGCTACGATGGTATTGCCGCCACCGGAAACACCATGGACAACGTCACCTTTGGCCGCTGGGTCTTTGGACTGTCCAACACCCTGAACTATCCCAACGGCAGCGCCATTGATACCAAGACTCAAATGGACATGTTCCTCTCGAGCTACGACCCCACAGCCGAGGGGCCCGGCGTCGCCCTGAATGGCACCCTATTCACCGGCGGCGGTTCCGGAGCCACCACGCCCTCCTACATCGACGCTCCGTTTGACGCCTTCCAGCGCCAGGCCCGCGAAGACGGCACCTTCCTTGCGTGGGACTTTGCCTCGCAGAAGCCCATCGTCAACCCCGCCAGCGAGGCCTGCATCGTCTTCGTCAACGAGCTGGCCTCCGAAGGCTGGGACCGCCCGTACCTGGCAGACCCATATTCCGACGTGCTTATCGAAAGCGTCGCCTCGCAATGCAGCAACACCATGGTCGTCATCCACAACGCAGGCGTCCGCCTTGTGGACCGCTGGATCGAAAACGACAACATCACCGCCGTCATCTACGCTCACCTCCCCGGCCAGGATACCGGCGGCGCCCTAGTCGAGATCATGTACGGCAAACAGTCCCCGTCCGGCCGTCTTCCCTACACCGTGGCCAAGAAGGCCTCCGACTACGGCAACGTGCTCCACCCCGTCGTCCCCGAGGGCGATCGGGATCTCTGGTACCCCCAGGACAACTTCACTGAGGGCGTGTACATCGACTACCGCGCCTTCGACGCGAACAACATCACCCCGCGGTTCGAGTTTGGTTTCGGTCTCACGTACACCAACTTCTCCTACTCCGCGCTGGAAGTTGAGCTCGTCCCTGGCGTGAACACCGACTACCTGCCCCCTGGCTCCGCCATTGTCGAGGGCGGCCTCCCCTCCCTCTGGGATGTCGTGGCCACTGTCAACTGCACCGTGGCCAACACTGGCGCGGTGGAGGCGGCCGAGGTCGCCCAGCTGTATGTCGGTATTCCTGGCGCCCCAGCCAAGCAGCTCCGAGGCTTCAACAAACAGTCCATCAAGCCGCACAAGAAGAAGCACTTCACCTTTGACCTGACCCGTCGGGATCTGAGCACCTGGGATGTCGAGAAGCAGACGTGGGGGTTGCAGTCAGGAAGCTATCCCATCTATGTGGGTAAGAGTGTGCGGGACATTCAGCTCACTGGTACTTTGCAGATCTGATTTTATGTGGTATCTTCGTTGTATATATCAGATTATACCCATGTTGACAGTGGATAATGAATTATGATGTGATGCCGTCAGTCTATCACTTGAACCATATTGTATATATCAGTATAGCGACAATCGGTAACTTCATCGTACATATCTTGTCATTAATCAACTACACCATACTCTTCACCTCCCTCTTGTCCATCGTACTAGTTACCCTCACACTCTGCCCCGCAAACGCCGACCCAACCACCGCACCCAACACCAGCACCACCCCAAACAAAAGCTACCAACATCAGCCATGCCTCCCTCAAACCACTACTTCTACTCACCTTTGGATCGACATCCTTCGACTCAACAACCAACGGCCCCGCAACCGCAATCGCAAAGCCCATCCCCTGCGCATAGTTTTTCGTCACAGAACTCGTAACCCTCACACACCACGCAACCAGGAATCCACCGGACGCCTGCAAGACTACAAACAGCCACACCAAGCCGGTAAACCCCGCAAAGAAGCTGGATGCATCTATCCTGCATTTTGCCTTCCAGAGGAAGGAGAGTAGTGCGAAGAGGAGACTATGCGCGGCGAGCTGTGCGTTTCGGATGAAGAAGGCGTTTGTGGTTGTAATTGAGGCTGTGGTCGCGGCGCGCTTGAGGGATCGTTCGATGTAGAGGCTTCCTAGTGCGACGCATGAACCAGACAAGAGCATGGCGAGGACGCCTGGGAGCGGATGCGGGTGGACGTTCGCTATGGTGCGATGCTGACTTTCTGCTGAGGCGTTGGCGCCTGTCTGGGCGAGGATGATCCCCGCTGTCATTGTGAGGGTGGAGGTCCAATGCTGAAGGGTGAATCTTTGGTTGAGGAGGAGGGTTGCGAGGAAGGGGGTGAGGATGAGCTTTGTTTGGGAGAGGGCGAGGTAGGGGAGGAGATCGAGGGAGGAGGCGCCGATGCTTTGCGCGAAGGATGCGGCTGTGTAGAGGAGGGCGGGGAGGGTGGCTTCTTCGTGGTTTGCTTTGAGAGTCGTGACGAGTGATTTGGGCTCTTCTGCTGTTTGGGTAATGCAGAGGAGGGAGATGGTCAGTTTGAGGAATTCAGACAGAAGGATGCCTGTCAGTGGATCGAAGGGTTTGTTCTCGGTGCTGGTGTGGGACTGGATTTTGTGTTGTAACTATGGCCATCATCTTAGCAATAGTGTTGAGAGGAGGAGTTGAGGACGTACGATGATTGACGCTGCATTTTGTAGGACGAGCTGATCGATTAGCAAGTGCAGTCGTAGCGAATTCAGAAACCTACCAGGACAAGGGCGACAATCGTCGATACTTGGACCTTAGTATGCCCTACGAAGCTGAACCTGACATTTGTCATTACCAGAAGTATACACATTGTGTGTCTCTTACATGTCAAGAGCAACTACCATGTCACTTCGTTCTGAACAACGAGGTTAGATGTCCACCGCTCTACACACTATGCCTCTAGAAGTTAACTCAACTAAGCGAAAGGCCAGGCACCGAGGCTGACCTAGGTATGGATTGATGACTGAAGTCAGCCTCATTTTCGGAAAATTACGGTCTGTCATTGCCCGGTCCCTTACAACTGTTCTCCACTGGAATATAGTCTACAGATACACTCTACGGAAAATATCGCATCGAGCATTACTAGGAAAGGATCAATAACAGTAAAACACTGGACTTCCTGCATGATCCAAACATAGTTAGCGCATCCGATGGACGGATACAATCACAGTCAGGGCTATATGCACCGTAACCAAGTGGGCAATGCACAGGCAAAATTAGTGTCAACAGATCAGTTTAGGCAGCCGCATTCTCAGTATCCAACTATAGACCGGGTGCCCTCGGATAATCAAGCCTATCTTCTCCCGCGTCTTGTGTTAGGTCGACTTTAGCCCAAAGCATGTCAGGCATGGAGCCAATGAATGAACCTAATGTTCCTCAAAAGACCCTGGCGCTTGAGATAGACCTTGTGTGATTGGATGATCCATTTGCCAAGCTCAGTTATGGGTCGATCTACAGAGCTTATTGCATTTAGGCCCACTGTTGGATATGGTCTAAAACATAGTAGCCTAGCCCCTGGTCTGTGAGTCAGGGAGTGTGAGATCAACACGGGAAAGGTGAAGACTCGAGAGGATCCAGGCGGGGCTCTTTGATCATGATCAAGTAATCACGACTGCCGTGGATTACAGGACGAATATTCCATGCAACTAGAATGGAAGGACTGAATGCTTAGGCCTCTCTCCAAACTAAAAACAATTCCGTATGTCGCTGTACTGTAAAATACACAACGGTAATGATACGGACGATATTGCCCTAAACAACGCTTGTGACTCCTTGCCCCTTCGTGATGTTAACTTTGTCCATCATGGAATATTCCAATCCTCATTCCCATCTTCTATGTATATGTACATTGATTAGTTCACTGTCTTTTATAAATCGGATCAGACCTTGATGGCGCAGAGCCGTAGCGCGGCATAGTCCCGGCGGTTACCTTCCCGCCAGGGTTGGCTATACAACCACTATTATAGACTGGTCAGCGTCTCGTCCAGCCAGATAATCTTTCGCTAGATGGTCGACGAAGAGCATGGCAACCCGAGATATGATGTGTCGAATGCTAGCATTTGACCCCAGGATCGTCCGTCCACTAACGAGTCCTCCAGTCGGCATCGATGTACTTGGTGTTGCCTGATTCAAGGGAGTTAGACCTTGGGAGGAAGAGGGTCCAGCGGAGCAAACTCAAACACACCCAGATCAAACCTTCAGTAGGTAACCTGTATGAGAAGCATAAGCGGATAGGGAGAGTTGCCTCCCTCGGGGACCGCGGATCCGAACAAGCCAATAACCGACACTGGTTGAGAAGTTAATTCGATTAGGAAAACACCATTTTGCAGTGGCACGCGTGATATATGCCGCAATTAGGAAGCCCTAGACCTCTAATACCAGTGAGATACGCACTGGACGATAACATAGGAGTCATAATGTCATTCCTTGTCCCCTTGAACCAGCGGTTTAGAATGAGTAGGATACACGGAAAGAAAATCAGACGAATCATCAGTTAGTAAACACATACACAGACGGGCTAAATTTATAACAGGAATACCAAGACAGAGACCTCGTAAAGGGTTCAGCGCCACAAACATCCCGTCTACCTCTGCGCGTTGCCAGTCAAGGCCCCCGAGCTCGAACCCGGCAATCATTCCAACCAAGCCTAGCAGCTGGTTGGACTGACCCGCAGAGGTGTAAACTCGAGCCTCCCCAGGCAGCAGTAGAGGCTGTAGTGTGTAGCGTCTGTATTATTAACGTGGGCGTACATCTAGATATTGGGATTATCACCTCCAATGCCATGAAAATTGCCATGCTGCAGAGATCATGGCGCGCTATCGTCTCCGGTTGCTTCTAACCCTCCTTCTCGTGCTTTTGTTTGGTGGCCTGTTTTCCTCCTCATTCCAGCAATTATACTACCTCCTCCGGCTCCCCTTTGTTTGGGAAGCCTCCTCCGCCGCCGCAGTCATCTCGCAAGAATATGACCAATTCGACGTCACATTTGCTGCCTACGAGGCCAATTACTCGACTGCCGATGCAGGACCTGCCCCCTTGATACCTCCCATACTGCATCACATTCACCTGGGCACCAGACCGCCACGAGCGGAGTGGCTCGAGGCCCGCAAGCTGTGCCTCAAGCATCATACCTCCTGGAGTACCTTCATCTGGAACGAGGACAGTGCAGAGAAGCTGGTACGCGAGGAGTTTCCTCATCTGCATGACATGTGGAAGAGCTATCCGTACATGATCCAGCGGGTTGATGCGTTGCGGTACATGATTCTACAGAAACACGGTGGTGAGTTTACCCCCAGGGAGTGTGATGGAGCTGACTCGTCAGGCGTGATCCTCGACTACGACCTGGCATGCAAACGGTCTCTCGAGCCCCTGCGGCGATTCGACTTTGTCGCTCCAGCCGCCCACCCCACCGGTTTCTCCATCGGCATGATGCTCTCCTCCCCGGGGAATCCGTACATCAAGGCGCTGGTCGATAATCTCCCGCTGTACAACCACCGGTGGTTATACCTCCCCTATGTGACGGTGATGTTCAGCACGGGCTGCCACTACGCTTCGTAAGTTTCACATCAAGCCATTGTAATGCAGGTCTAATGCATACAGAACAATTTACACCCTCCAATCCAACCGATCCTCTCTCCGTATCCTGTCCGGCCCGCCCGACGCACCGCGCATGCACATGCTCAACGGGCAGGTCAACACCCCGCTCTTCCGCCACCTGGGCTCGTCCTCCTGGCATAACCGCGATGCACGGCTGATTTCTCTGTTTAAGAATCTCGATCAGCGGGCACTGTTTGCGGTATTGGTCTTTAGTCTCTTTGCTGTCACGACGATGATACTGTGCTGTGTAGATCGTGCGCGTGGACGTGGACGCTCTGCGGATGAAGAGCAAAGCACAGCTGTCTTGAAGTCGTTGACGAAAAGTGCTTAGCTAGTCTTCATACATTCAGTTTTGTAAACCATTTTGTATCTAGGTGTGTATAGGGGGAACTATGCGGCAGTTGCTATCAACCATTCATGCAAGATATCCAACCCAATCCATGGCAAGCTACAGTTTAGACAGATTATTAAACCACATATACCGACTCATCACCAAATACAACGACCGATCCCACGAGTACTGGCTCGCATGCTGGCTGAATGCCGCCCGCGAGACGAGGTACGTCCGCCAGGGACTCACCAGCAGGACCTTGTCATTGTATGCCTCGAGCGGAGAAAGATCATGGACGCCGTCCGCCCTACTTGTAGCGGGTGAGGTAAGGATGGCTTTGAAGATGCGCCACGAGAATGGAATCGAGGTCGGGATGAGGTCGAGGAGCGAGGAGTATTTGCGGAGGAGGAAGGTACTTTGCAGTGTATATGCGGGCGGGGCGTTGGATGTGCTTGTAATATATTTCCTACTAGGTTAGCCTCATTAGGAACAGATGGACATAGAAAACGAACCGGACACCGGCGCTGACGGCTCTATGGTTGATATGGCCTGACACGCCTCCATCGTCGAAGGTGATGATCTAGGAGATGAGTACGAGTACCAACGTTTATTGCAAGGCAAAGGGCATACATACCAAATCAACATTCCATTTCTGGACGTGCGAAGCGACAAGTTCCTTTATCAGATCGTCATCCCACCATTTCTTGGGATTATCCTGCAGCTCGACATTATCCAGTACGACGCAGCGATCCGGAGCGATGCCCAGCACGGAGCAGCTATCGTGGATTTCTTGTCGGCGACGCTCGCCTATTCCGTCGTAGTTCCCTAGACGGGTAAGCAACACACGATACAACTGATGTTCAACTTACCAGAGGATATCACCAGCAAAGCCCGCTGCACGTGCGGATCATCGCGACGGTAGGCGATGCTCGGACTGAAGAAGAGCGTCTCGTCGTCCGGGTGGGCGGTTACGAGGAGGATACTCTTTGCGCGCTGAAACGCGACAGGTACTAGCCGCGGATCACTTGCCAGGTAATATGCGAGTAGGATATAGAGACACAGGGCAGTGAAGGCTACTACGAAGAAGAGAGACGAAGCGATCCGGACTAGTTTTCGTCGTTGGCCGTGCCGGCCGAGGCGCTGGGCTATCCAGACGAGCTTCATGTTGCAATAGATGAGATTGACTTCTCTTAGACTCTTGCTTTGTGGTTGTATTCAGACCTAAAAGACGAATTCATTGCAAGGCCAGGATGAGTGCTTGTTCGAGACTGTTGCCCTTCAGCCTTTCCAGGTTACATACAATACCAGCGATATACACGTTATACCATTACAGACTCCATTAGGGCAGTTGGATTTGCGTTTTGGCAGCGATATTAGCTCTCGCAGAGCTTGATGAATTTTAAGTTAGCGTTTCCGAATGTCTCTGGATGCGCCAATCCAGCTGCTCAAAATCCGTCTGCCTACAGGGCCCTGTTGTTTGCACAGCTCAACTGATGTTAATCCGTGGTCCTGCAGGAGAATTCTCCACTTGTCGGTGTGTCGGCGGGTTTTGACGGCGGATTTTGACTTTATGGCGTTGGGCACATAACACCGCCTCGGTTTCCCTGCAGTAGCTAAACAGCTAAGATGATATCCTGAAAATTGCGGCTAGATCTTTCTTTTTTCGGTGAAGGTATTGCACATATCCCGTGTTCCACCGCCATGTCATGGGTGCGCGGCAAGTTTCTGCTCCTGGTCTCCAGGCTGCTCCCCCTCCCCTCGTCAGGGTATTCCGTCCTTGCCCAGTCATCTCGCCATGGCAGAGCAATCTCCTTTGGGCGGAGTCCGCGGGCCGCGGGGCGCCGTATCATCATCCTGCTTGTCCGGATAGTTCTGGCGGTCCTTTTGTGTAATATCATATTGACACCCATCTTCTGGCCTTCGTACACGCACCTCCCACCTTGCTATCAGACCCTCAAGAGAATAGCCTCGAGCTCCACTACCCCCGGACGAGGCAACCCTCACAATGAAAAGGTATTCATCGCCGCGATCTTATACGACCGCACCGGCGAGCTCGCCAGCGGCCAATGGGGTGACGCACTCGTGGCCCTGATCGACCTCCTCGGGCAAAATAACGTCTACCTCAGCCTGTACGAGAACAACAGCGGGCAAACGGGCCAGCAAGCCCTCGAGGCCCTCTCGCAGCGGATCACAAGCAATAAGTCTACCGTGGTCCATCTCGACGAGCACATTACCTTCGACGCATTCCCGCGCGTCACTCTCCCCAACGGAGAGAAACGCATCAAGCGGATCGACTACCTAGCCACGCTACGGAACCGCGCTCTGCGTCCCCTCGACGAGCAGAACCACATCAAGTACGACAAACTCCTCTACCTCAACGACGTCTACTTCAACCCAGTAGAAGCCCTCCAGCTCCTCTTCTGCACAAACGCTCAGCCCCCGCGAACTACGCCCGCCTACCGCGCCGCCTGCGCCGTGGACTTTAGCAACCCCTTCAAATTCTACGATAGCTACGCTACCCGCGATCTCGCAGGCTACGGCATCGGCCTCCCGTTCTTCCCCTGGTTCACGACAGCAGGGCACGGACGGAGTCGCGAAGACGTACTGGCTGGCCGGGACGCGGTCCGCGTGCGCAGCTGCTGGGGCGGGATGGTCGCGTTCGATGCGTGGTATTTCCAGAAGGAAAGCCCGGCGCGGTTCCGCGCTGATGACGAGGTATTCTGGGATGCGTCGGAGTGTTGTCTTGTACATGCGGACGTGCAGGATGCACCGGGGGATGTGGATGACATTCATGATACGGGGGTGTATATGAATCCGTTTGTGCGGGTTGCGTATACGTCCAGGACGTTGGCGTGGCTGGGGACTACTCGGCGGTTTGAGCGGTTGTATGTGCGTGCGCACGATCTGCTGAATAGGGTTGTCGGGCTGCCGTGGTATAACCCGCGGAGGGTAGAGGTACCTGGATCAAGAGTGAAGCGGGAGGTTTGGGTGCCGGATGAGGGAATACAGAATGGAGGTTCGTTTCAAATGGTTGAGGTTACTGCTGGGAATGATGGGTTCTGTGGCCGACGGGGGATGGAGGTGGTTGTGGAGGATAGAAGACCTGGTCAGGATGGGTTCGAAGCTGTACCTCTCCCTTCTCGACAACAGTATATACAGGATTAGAATGAAGATGTATCAGGAACTTTAGTCCACTCCCTGCACCGACCAAACATCGTCCGACAGAACTTCCCGTACTCTACTATCAGATCAAACTTCCTCCAAGAGCCCTGCGCTCGATGGAGCAGCCGCGCAGACGGGTCTGTCGCGGGTTTCGAGCCCATATTGCCATACTTGCCTCTTCCTGGGCTGAAGCCCGTAATCGGCAGAACCAAAACATCCTCCACAAACTTACTCCTCCCCCCATCATGCAATCCCGTCAGCGCATTCCACCGTAGCCCTGTAGTGGCCATCAACCAGCTCTGCACCGCCTCGGTGAACGCGACCGGGCCGGTCAGAACCAGCGGATCAACTGCCTCAATCGGCATCTCCTGCATCGCCGTAGAGAACCGATCAATAAACATCTGGAGGATCGGATGTCCCGGCGCCCAAGCAAAAGCCCATTGTGTTAGTTGCACGGGGTAAGTATACCCCATCCGCCAATACAAATCGCTATCAGGGGAACAATCGGCCTCCAGGCCGACAATTGCGCGAACTGGCTTGGTGGACCGGTACACGGCGCCTGATTCCGGGTCACGCCAGGGCTGGATATCAGAGGCGTTGATCCAGTCTTTGGGCTTACGGAGCGGCTCGGTGTCCATATCTCCGTACTGAGACATTATTAATACGCTCAAACAGATTAGAAAGAGGAGGAGGTTACGTACCACACCGCCGATCCACTTCGAAACCAGAACACGAAAGACATCCGTTCTTTCGACGTTGCTAGCAAGAGCGTAGAATTGCTTCTCCAGACCGGGCTCAAAGTGTTTGATAAACTGGTTGATCCCTTCGTCGTCCCAGAGGAAGTATGCCATCTTGTCCTCTTCGACTGCTCGAAGCCATGTCTCTGTACTCTGACGGATTGCCTGAGGCCATGTCTGCGGATCTGTATTCTTCCATGTTTGGTGGACGATCATCGGAATGCTGGAGAGGGGGATCTGTCTTTGGGGCGCTTGCGCTTTGCCAGAAGCCAGTTTGGCCGCTTCGACAATAGTTTCTGGTTTAGTCGTAGCATTCTCCAGCCATGAAGGAGGAATATGCCATACTGCTTTTGTTAGCGGGGTGGGTGAGACCCGGGAAAACGAGTGTCTGTATCTTACCACCTCCTTTTTCACTGGGCGGATGAATGTATTTCAGAAGCAACGGCGTATTACTGGCCACTTCGGCATCCTCATATTCGAAAGAATGCATCAAACAGATGACCGTGACGAGCAGCAGAGTTGCGACAATGACCTGTCGCTTGAAGCGCCGAGGTCCCATTGCAATTCAAACGGACTAACAGGAATAATCTCAGATCAGTAAAAATATAGCTAGTCGGCAGGTATGTGAAGAACGCAGACATTTGCCAGGGTTTCATAAAAAAGCTAGGGCCAATCATTTAGGGTTACACTTTGGTGCAGCCACCACACACCGTCTAGGCAGCAAACCTCAGTTTTATCCATAAAACAATCTACGACAGCTAGAGGGTGAAGTAAACAACATACGCCGATCCTACCAGCTTTACTTTTAATCAGCAATGCTAAGACGGCCATCGTGGAAATGTACAAGGTATATGCATCCAATCCATCATAAACATGGCAGCATAAGTATTATTCAAGCCTTGCCAAGCATTCATTCATAAAGGATTCCCGCTGACTTACTACAAATTGCATTAAGCTAATAGTGCTAAGCAGGGAAGCAATATGCCACAGAGGTCCACTAGCTAGGCAAGCCTATCCATATCTCATGACCATCCTAGAGAACCCTAGAGTCTACAGTTCGTCAAGTTTATGGACAATTCAATAACAAATCACAGACGATTAACACACTGATGTGATCGACTCGGACACGAGGCCTGATTACCTCGGCTGATCTCAAAGGATCCTACCTTAACATCACTGATCCTGCGGGCCACTGGACTGAAACGCTTCTGCCAAAGTTCGCCCCTGCAGAGGATTGCCGGTTTCACCCATGCGCTTCTCCCATCCAGAAGTGTCGGAGCACACTCGGACGGTTCATTATTCTCGCTCATCCGTCTGAGTTTCTGGGCCATACCTGTTGAACGCTCAGCATACCCATTCGCTGCTTGGCACATTTCAACTAGTGTTCTTGGCTTCGTATCCAGCACGATTCCTGCCAATGAACGAGCACCGTTCAATGTTTTTGCTCGAATACGAGGTTAGCCTGAGCATAGGCCTTGGCGAAGATCCCGCCGCGGGTGCTCAAAATTCCTTTTACCTCTGCCGAAGCAAGACCGCTCTCCTCCACAACAATCTCACCAAGTTCGATATTATCTGGGAGGATGCACCTCCCAAGGCTCTTCGCTTCAGGACTGGTCCTGTTAGCAGTTCCCACAGCCGTCGCCGCCAGAAGAGGCGGAGGTGGAACCGACACCGATACATCAAGCGATGGCGACGGAGACTCCTCCAGTGACCCCGAAGGCACCAGCACCATTGGCGGCAGCAGTTCAAGCTGCCCCGCCACATCAGATGTACTGTACAAGAGCGATCTTGTGCCCCTCAGCGCCTACAACTGGACGAGCAACGCCGTCGGCGGAAACCCAACCACATACGACGGATCCTACTTCCAGGGCGAGGCATTCCTGCATTGGCAATTCACCGCAGGCAGGCAATGCCGGAACAGCACCGGCTCCGTACGAATGCTAGGCTACGCATGGGTTGGCCCGCAGCCGCCGTACCCCACAGGCCCAACGAACCCGCTCATCATCGGGTTCAAGGCGTGGCAGACTAACGAGGCGCTCGCGAACATCACCTTCTCGTACGACTTCCTCAACGACGGGCTCTACTGTCCCACGGAGCCGGATCTCGTCAAGGTCCAGACCAGCGATGGATGGACGGACTACCAGGCTAGTACCGATATCCCGCGCGCGGACCGGGCTCGGGCGCACGATGTCTTTAATTTGGACCTGGCGCCTGACGCGGAGCGACCGGACTCTGTCCTGTTCAATGGGAGCTTGGTACCGGATCTCAAGCCGGAGCCGAAATACACGGTCGAGATTCTCTTGCCTGCGTCGGCTTGCAATCAACCATCGCGACTGTCGCTTGGATACACGGATGGGCTAAATATGTCTGGGTCCCTGACGAATACGACTCTGGAGTTGAGGATGGCTGGGGAGGGGAACGCGTCTTACTCCTCTGCCACTGGGGAGAGGCCTCGTGCGATGTTTAATATCACTTTCTCCGGAACGTTTGATAGCAGGAACTCGACTCGGGCTGTGGCGATTAAGCAGGATGCTCAGCCTATGGTGTCTTGGGTGGATAATGGGGCTATGATGCATGGCTCTGTGAGCTGGGTGCTGAAGTTGGTATTCATGGGATGGGTTGCCTGCTTTGTCTGCTGATTGTCGACGATTCATGATTACGAGGTACTAGAAGATTATAATCCGTATATAGCGTTTTAATCATATTCCGAGTCCATAGCTAGAATGATAATTTATGACTATACTCACTTCTCCCATGTCCGCCGACCAACAATGCCAAGCTCCGATGATGTTTGTGATGTATATGAAGACGGAACAAAGGATCGTTTGCGTATGTTCCTATATTATAATATACATGTTATCCAGTATCATAAGATGTGCAGACCTGGCGGCAGTGTCCTAGACATATATATAGACTGAGGCATACAGGCCGGTCAACCAGAAGGATATCTCTCCGCTGGCAACTCGGCAATGAGGAAATCTCTACTATTTACAGGCACATCGATGTCGACCGTTCGCACAGTCATACTTCTTCCCAGGCCCTTGGGCATTTCCCCTAGGCAGTCCGTCATTTCTTCCAATTTCAACACCATTCCAACTGCCTTGTGGTCCTCGGTAAGCTTCGGGTGTCGTCGGGCGAAATATCGGGCATATTTGACCAGGGACCAGTAGCAGCTGGCGACGTTGGTCAAGGTCATAAGGAGTTTGTATGGCATCTGCACCAGTCAGTATCATGGGGGGGAGAAAGTAGAGGCAAAGGGCAGCGGCACCATACATAATACCCGAGGACAACCTTCCAGCAAATCCGCTCGTTCTTCAGACGTAAATGAACCTCGTTAAATATGATTATGTGGAGTAAATAGAGCCCTAATGTCGCCATTATGAGGGCAATGCAGAATTCGGGTCGCACGATGAACGATATTGGCAGCGTAAATGGAGTGAGGATGTACAGAACCGTCTCGTATATCTGTCTAGTCAGTATCGAGTCATGCACAGAGTAAAGGTCGAGAGTGCATACCTCTTGCATGACCAAGAGCTTTGTCGCGAATTCCCACCGGCCCAACTTCCACGACGTAAAAAGGTACGAGAGGTTATACCACAACCCATTGGCGACGAAGAAATTCCACCGTAGAAACCGCTGCTTGAAGACCGTGGGCTCTCCGAATCCGCCTCGATCTTCGTCGATTTCGCCAAACAGCACGGAGGCGGGTGTCGTGGTCTCCACGAAAACCGCGCTACACATCTGGATCCTGCCCCCCAAGCGCCTGCAGCTATCACCTAGGAACCAGTCCTCGCTAATGGAAAAGCCGGGATGATTGTGGAGGGTCCGCTTCAGAAACGTCCGTTCCCACAGTGAGATGGCGCCGTGGGGGAATGTCGCGCTCCCGATCCGCCCCGCGAAACACCGGGTCAGGCCGGACAGTTTGTACTCCAGGTCTTGTGCTTGCTGGCAATACGACCCGAGAGAGGAATCAGGTCCAACGGACTTGATCGTGTAGCCGATGCAGCGCACATCCTCGTTGAGTCGGGATACGACAACAGGGAAGTTGGGCGGGAGGATACAGTCGTCGTCGATCAACAGCACGTTTCGAAAGTCTTTGACAGCGTAGCAGCCAATGAATATGGCGATGATCTTTGACCCCACTGGTGACCATATGTGATTGACCCCGTAGCTGCGGCAGATCTCCTCGGTGTTGTCCAGCGGTTGGGACGAGTTCCCGTTTGCAACGACGTAGATATGCGATGCTGGGAAGATTTGCAGCGCGGCCTCCAGGGTTCGACCGATGATGGCAGCAGATCGGTAGCAGGGGATCAGGAGCGCGGTGTCCGTGGGGTTTGGAGTAATCCGGCGCTGGTGGAAGAACTCTGGTCCAGGAGAGGTGTCCTCGAATGCGGTAAGTAGGGGGGTATACGAATAGCTATCGGTGTCTGACTGTGAGCCATTATTCATTGCATTGCACTTTTCGCATCCGACGAAGACTTACAACACGAGCATACCGATGACAATCGCCCAGCCGCCCTGGAAGACCGTTTTCTTCTGCATGATCCAGTGAAGCCACCATACTGCTCCTTTCCACAGAGGTACCCCCACGAGAACGAAGTACACAAACAGTACAAGGACAGTGTATACTGCATACTCGAACAACAGTCGACGCCAGTATCTTCGTTGATGCTTGATCTTCACGAGGGCGGCCCTGTTATACAAACTCCGGACGCTGCCTTTTCGTATGTCGCGCGGCGTGCTCCGTAAGGATTGGCCTACAGGCAGCGAGTTTCGATAGCTGAACCTGTTGTGTGTCCGTGGATGCATAGACGCTCGAGTATACTGACCGCCCTGATCCTCCTGCGACGACGCTGCATCATATGAAATATAAACAGGATCTTCTCGAGAGATCGATCCGCTAGAAGGACAGGATGGGCCGTCATTCGTCTTGCTGTCTTCAGAGAGAGATACATTCTCCCTTCCTTCTTCAATGGCGAATGTCTGGCTGAGACGGCCGTATCGTGTCGTGGGCTGATATCCTCCACGGTCCGACCAGCTTATAGTTGACACTCTCTTCTTGGCAACATGAATCTCGCCCTCTGGATAATCCTCCTCGCCTGAGGAGAAGGTTTGATGGTTGCAATAGCGCTGATCGTCTGTCGCTGAGACTGATGCCAACAGATTGTCTGGAACATAGATCCTTTCTCCAATGCACCCATTCTCGCTTGTGAGCATCTTTGCCTTGGTGCTCATATATAAGGCTTCGCAAAAGCCGCATCCTTCAGGTTTGAAACTCTCTGAGGAAGATGGAGGTCATATGAACGCAAGACAACCCGCCCTTCTTTCGAGGGCTTGACATTATTTGTATGGCTGGGCTTTTCTTCCTCCAGTACCACACTTTGGAATATTGTGTCATATCTTCCAAATTCGCTGGCCAAGGTATTTCTGTACTATCCCACGGCCCGTGAGATATGCACAGAAAAAGCTCTGACCAGTGGGCCGATCTGCTCCATGGTGGGCCCGCATAGCTAATATGAAATTACTCGTGGGACGCCTGGACGAATGGGATTGGTGGGCAGTCAATCTCATTCCGAGTCTCCCCTGGCCAACCGCGGGACCAAATATCAAATCAGGGGGATCAGAGGCCGTTTTTCCCTCAATGGCGCGGGCCAGTCATCGTCTCACAGTATGGCTCAGAGTATGCAAGGGGGAGTCCCTGGAGCTTCGGGCCGCCAATACTCTATATGTTCCAGCGAGGATTTATCTTCCGTCTTCCCGCGTCGCATCCCAATCTGGCATTCCTGTCAACTTTTACTTCACTCTATCCCAGAGGTTGGCAATACAATAGCCATAACACGGCGTACAAAAGCTCACAGTTGTATCACAAAGAAAGGACTGTGGCACCGTTATGGGATAGGACTTTGTTAAGAGTGTCAGGAAAACAAGAGCGGACCTCTCAGATGTCTCGGTCCAGCATTCCGATGCCGCCGCAACTATGCATAAACGTAAACAAACCCTCCCACTGATTGGGTTCATGCTAATGCCACTCTCAGTCGCACATAGTTATGGGTTTGGTTATTAGGCTTTAACCATAAGAAAAGGGTAAGTAAGCTTCTAGTCACCTTATACTGATGTCAGTACTCCTTTGTCTGGTTAAATGTCTCACCATGATGCCACTCACTGAAGTCACCCGTATATCAGCAGAGTAGAATAAGCTGGCCAAACATCACTGCTATTGCACTTCGTCAACATCATACCAACGATAACCAACGAGGGCCAACAACCACACTCTTCACCCTGAGACAGTTGCACCCTCTGCATTGGACTCCTCTGTACGCCACAATTCGCCTTGTCATACCCTCCTCTACGGATACTGTCAATCCTCTGACAAAGAATGCATTTACTCTAAGGGGTGCAGGCCTGCGCTTTGACACCTGTTGCTCTTCTAACACACCCGCTGGAGTGGAATGACTGTGCGCCTGTACAGCATGTCATGTTGGAACTCGCCACTCGGGGAATATTTTGACATGACGGGTGGAGCACCCTCGTAGTAGTCCCTTTGTTCGTGCATTTAATAGCCTTGTAGCTCATTGGCTGGTACTTAAAGGAGTCGAGTCGAGGCTCCAGTTGTCATGGACATTTAAACTATGTACTTTGTGTCAGTACTGCCTGTCGGTACCTTGTTCCGTCCAACGGCAAAGTATTTACCAAGGGGCGCATCGTTTTTATCCACATGGCCCACATCCACTGAATATAGGGGGGGCGTTGAATAACTTGAATAGTGCTGAGGAAGGGTTGTCCATGGTAACTTGGATGTCATTTGCTTAGTAGGATATCAAAACATCATACGGTATAGGTATCAATTATCGAGTACTTAGTATGGTTATTAAATTCTATAAAGCTAACCTTATATACTAATGTAGTACCTTGTATAGGTAAAGTTTATAATTATATATATATATATATATAACGATATGGGGTTCAGGGACACCTCTAGTGGTACTGTATTTCAAAATATATATATCCAAGTTTGTGGTAGTCAACATCCTACTATATCCCTACTATGGTGGTTTAATATCAACTGTCAATACGTAATACTATCTAAGAATTCAATATCAATACTTGTACTCGACATCCTACTATATGGAAAAAAATAATAATACTACTCTGTATATAATCATCAATATCCCATGAAAATTCGAACCTATATACATTTGTCTGATATTCATAGGTATAAAAAGGTGATGTGCCCTTTTGTACAATTAAAAGGAAGAGGTACCCCTTCTACCGCGGAAATGACTAGAACCAACTTCAACATCCACCGATTAGGCCCCCGCATTCCAGCGTCCGCAGGGATACACCCGCAAGGGCACGACGCCATTTCCATGGATGGGCGGTCACTCAAGGATCTTCTCAACTCATCCTCAGTTCTGGGTTGGAATGGCTGATAACCGATACACTTTTATTTTTGTTAGCATTAACGTACACAAGAGTCGATAGAGTGTATTTAGCCTTCCGTTTAGATCTTCTCGATCGTCGGTTTGATTCCAGGGTCGCTGTCATCCCTGTTGCACGGCATTAACCGGTGTTCTACAGTCATTCCTCGGGGTTTGCTCGGAGTATCTGTCTCTAGGACAGGTGTTCTGTTGATGGATTGCTTGAATGGGGTTTAGTAGGATTTGACAGGATTATGTGTATATGGTCGGCCTGTGTTGCACTTGAGGTCTTTGAGCCCAGATGGCGTAGGATGAGACGCAGATAATCCCTCTCCCTATGTATAGAGTTAATTTGTAGAGGCTGGATGTCAGTTGTCTTCATTTTATTATCTGTTAGTGAAATATGTGAGGTATGACTGGCGATTCCGTGGTGTCGTAACCCTGTCCCGTTTTACATATATATTAGCAGTTGGGCTACTACATACAGAGCAGCCCACTTATCTACCGTTGCTCTTGAAATTCAATTGTAGAACAGATTGGACAAAATTACTAGTCACTTTTCAAACATTCATTATCGGTGTATTGAGAACTCTGTAGGCTTAGTGCATGGTACTAGCTGCTGCTATACAAGCATGGAATTCAGCATAAATCTCCTTGACAGTCCGGCTACCTCAAACAAGCTCCTTCCCATGATCATTCCTCACATCAGCAACCTCCATGACCTCTCCGTCCCCATCTGCAAACGCCTGGTCCCCGAACAAGACGGCAATTTCCTCAAGACTATGATTTGCAGTCTCCACATAGTAAAAGTAAACCAGACCGGCGGAGAAGAGACAGAATCCCGCAATCACCAGGTAGAAATACCCGTGGATACCTGCAAAAGCATCGGGAGAAACCATGCCGATGATAAAGTTAAAGATCCAGTTGCTCGTGGTAGCCAGAGCCATTCCTTTGCTGCGGCCGCGCAGGGGGAAGATCTCCGCGGGGAGAAGCCAGGGCATCGGGCCCCAGGTGAAGCCGTATACAATGTTGTAGAGCATGACAAAGGCGTACTGGCCGTTGGCTTTGACTGTGATGTCCAGGTTGGCCTCGGTGAAGGCGCAGACGATACCGAGCAGGATTGCCATGGCCAGGCCTGGTTGATATAACAGTTAGCCGGCTATATAGTTTTGAAAAGGTACTGGAGACTCACCTCCAAGAATAAGCAAAGGCTTCCGTCCCCATCTGTCCGCTAACCACCATGTTACAATTGTAGCGGCTGTATATGGAAGCGCATTCGCAGCCGTGTACAGGAGCGATTTTCGATTGTCGAATCCGGCTGACGCAAGGGTGCTCGGAAGGTAGAATGAGATGATGTTAATTCCGTTCAGCTGGGCGAACATCTGGACCGTGATTCCAACGATCGTTCGTTTGCGGTAACGGGTGAACATTTCCTGTTCATCGTGTTAGCCAGGTTGAAACTCACCAAGGTCATAACGGGATTGTCACGCCTACCTTCCAACTCGACTTTCCTAGGTTGGTTTCATATATGACTGCTTCTTGGATCTCGAGGAAGACTTGCTGCACATGCTCTGCCTCTGTGTCGCCTCCAGAATGCAAGTCCGCAACAGTCTGCAAACTCTCTTGCATGAAGCCGTTCTTCGCCAGCCAACGAGGTGTCTCGGGCAAGAAAAATGACATGGCCAACAAGACAAAAGAAAGAATGATTTGCACAATGAACGGGCCTTGCCAGGACATATGGCTCGGTAAAAGGAAATTGAAACCGTAGTCCACCCAGCACGACAACATGTATCCTGCAATCAGGAATGTATACTCGATCCCAACCATGAGACCACGACGATGCGGGGCCGCGATCTCCGTCTGAATAATAGGCACGGTCATGGAGAGAAATCCCACTCCCAGACCCTGGATCGTACGGCCGGCGATAAACGTGGCGAAGTCGGGAGCGAATATTTGAATGAACGCACTGAAGAAGTAGATGAAGCCGCCGATGCGGACGCACTTCTTTCGTCCGATGATATCGCCGAGACGCCCTGCAATGAGTGCACCCACAGCTGCTGATGCTTGGAGACATGCGACTGAAATGCCCGTGATAGACGGATCGACTGCATTCGTGGTGCCGTCTGCACCGCCATAGTCTTTGAAGAATCGAGATACGAAGACGGGATTGACCAGCAAGCCGGACATGATACCTATTGCAATTAGCATTAGCAGCACTCCTGCCGTCCAGCTTTTCGGTGGCATACCCGAGTTGTATCCGAACAATGCATCCCCCAGACTCCCAAAGGCGCATGTCGCATAAAGCAACGGCGCTCCCTTGAATGGATATCTGGCGGTGACCTTCTTGGGCTTGAGCTTTCTCTCCAGCCAACCTTGTTGCTCTGCAACCTGCGCGGCCACAGCTTGCGAGCGGCCTTTGATGGCCGCATTGTGCGCCGTCGCAGAGGTTCTTCTGACACTCATGGCCTCGAGAAAGAAACAGGAATACAAATCAGTTGTTAGATACCGGTCATTGACAGTTAGTCTCAACCAGGGTGGCAGGGCTCTATTTCTACTTTTGCTACCCCGGAGTGTGGTCCCATGGGGAAGTTAGACTTTTCTCCAGGTCAGGGTGTAACCTGACTTGCAACTGTCCCACAACGCCATGTTCAAGTCTGCTCCAAACTCCACAACTGAGTATCATCGCGGTACTTGGTCAGATCTCGTGTCTCTGGCTCGGAACCGAAAAGTCTTCCAAGAAAAGTTCTCCGGCTTGTCACTTGTATGTAAACTTACTCGATGTAGCCAATCATTAGTATC